ATTCCTTTTCCTATTCTCTCTCCTCCCCCGAGAACGTATCTATGTAAATTACGATTTTAATATATTTACCGGCGTATTTTCGCCTGGAAAGTTTGTCCGCGGCGATTAATCAAGCGTCTCGTCTCTCGGAGCAATTCATTAGTTCCCTTTTTTTCCTCCTGTCGCGCGAGACCGTGAGAATCATCCCCCTGAAATCTTAATGCCGATCCCGAACCGACACGTGCTTCTCCCCTCGCCCCGCTCCTCCGCCGCCCGAAACGACGTATCCGACGTGTCCGACCCGTTTTCTCTCTTTCTCGCCGCTTTTTGCCAGTAATGGGGGCTCGATTTTCTGATGCGAGAAATTCGCGAAATAATTAGAACGTACGTCCGGCCAACCGCGCCCGCCACCACGCGCGCCGCGCCTTATCGCGCATTGTCCCGGCTTATATTAATTGTCCGGTCTCAAGGTCGCTGCTATTTTTTATCGGAATCTAACGTTCTCTCTCTCTCTCTCTCTCTCTCTCGCGTTACGTAATTTCACGTTTCTCACGTACGCTACACGTACCCGTCGTAGCGGGGCTATCAATTTCTTTAATTAATCGCCACTTCCATCAGCTTCCTTTAATTGAGAAAATCGCGGCGCGAGGGAGCGCGAAAACGCACTTGTATGCGAGACAGGGATGGATCGAGACGGTGATTGGAACACACGTGACCGTCGTGCAAAATAAAATTACACTCGGACATTGGTAGGACGCCGTCTTCCTTGATCCGGCAATCGCATCGGGAGAAAGCGGAAATCGATGACTCGGATTACGACGGAACTTGCGCGATAAATCAGCGCGCGCAACAGCGGCACGTTTTGCAAAATCGATCCTCGCCGCTTGCTCCGTTTCTTTCTCTCTTCCTCTGCGCGCTGCTCGCCTCGACTCCTTCGCGTACACTGAGAGAAAAAAAATATATGATATTTGGAACTATAATGATATAGTAACGAAATTATAGTCCAAAATATCATATTTATAGTAAGTATTACCATAATATCGGTAATAATTACGATATAGGCATAGTATAACCAACCATATAATATTTTTACTAAGAATTATAGTAAGTTAAACTAAAATTATTGTATGGGTAGAAATATAAAATGGTAGGTGAAGAAAGTAACTCTTTTATATAGTCAATATTACCAGAATATTTGCTAAATGATGACAGATGTGTAACTATATGAATATTAAATCTCACTATATTTGTGAATGAGAAATTACCATATATGTGATAAAAAAAGTAACTAAACAATTATTTCAGACAATCATTGACTATATATTTGTGTTTATTCTACTATATTTTGCAGATTCCACAAACTATAAAAGTATGGTTGGCGCCAAAATGAACTATAAAATATAGTGAGATTATAGTTATTTCAACTATATTTTTCTATCAGTGTACGAGGATGCATCGCACGCACCACCGACCGTCTCTTCACACGCGGAGCTTATCCTTTCGCCTGTATCAGCTCGCGTTAATTCGTCAAATTATCGAAATCCACTGCAAATATTCCGAGGGAGGAGGAGGCGAAGGGAACTATCGCGATAGTAAGCAGTCGACTCGCCGCGCGTGGGTGTGCAATTAAAATTGTAACGTGAGCGTTATAATAATAAACAGAAAAAACTACGACATATTCAAATGCGAGTTTGCGTCATTCTCTAGAAGGGGGTGAAATGCGCAGAAGCAATTGCGATTTTTGCTCATTACGCGTCATCGCTCCATTTGCGAGCGCTCTATCTCGAGAGCGGAAGTGACGGCGGACGCGTATAGTTCGATGACGACGACGCGGGACAAGAATCCCAAGAGGTTTGTTCCGCAAGTTATTAACCGGGCTTACGTGAGCTTTTTTAATGATCATCGATTTACCGATTAGCTCGGCGAAGGTAATTTAAGTATTTCAAACGGCGCGGTACTGCCGCGACGACAAATACCTGAGGAAACTGTCAGATTGACGACGGATCGAATTGCAATTGCGCTCGCGATGATGTTAACGTTAACATTTACCGAATTTTTACCGTCAATTGAGCTTTGAGTCAAAACTGTGTCGCAAGCTAAAGTCATAGTGAAAAATTTAATAGCAGAACTTTTATCGTGTAACAAGCTTGTGTGATTGCGATCATTCTTAATACTGAGACTTGGTTTTATAAAAAATTATGATTGATTGAGCAAAGTAAATTAATATCGGAAACTTAATACTCATTGTGTAACTAATGTGGAAATCCCAGAGTTTCATTACCGGCATGATAGAAATCTAAATTATTTATTGTGGCAATAACGTCTTTTCATCGACGAATCTACGTCGATAAAAGCATAAAAGGTGTTACTAAAAATATATTAATAATTACTTTATTAAAACATAAATTATATAAATAATCTATGAAAGTAAAAGAAATTAGCATCATCTATTTTCGTATTAAACGCCACGAGACTTTCATTTTTAATATTTTATAATAATTTTATTTCCGGACATAATGTTCATTTACTATAAAAACAGCTACAAAAGAAGCGACTTGCAGCAAAATCGGTCTTTTCTTTTGATTTAGGTTAGATACATAGAAAATACTTGTTTACCGATTTACGTTCATTCTGCAAAAGGACGAGATAAGCTCAGAGTGCAAACAAGTACCTCGCCGCGAGTGATGATTAAAGTAAAGACGACAAAGATTCGGTTTTCGTTTATCGCGTTGAACATTCTTCCGAGATTACTTCGCTTTATAAATATTTAGTCGAGCGATGTATTCTTAATTGGAAAATTTACGATTAAATAAATCTTAAAGCACACCCACACCGGATAATTACGCGTCTGCATCGTCGAAATGTCACCGTGACGGACGCTGCGCTAAATTATCATTACGTTCGTCACGTTCACAGTTCAATTAGACGCCTGAACTTTTCGCATCAATAATTGCCGGATACTTTTTCGAGGCTTTGCACACCCACCAATTGCGACCGTAGAAGATTAACGGAATATTTCATAACATCTGCATTACAATGGGAAAAAAGCGTTAAATGACATTTTTCCCTCCGAGGATACGGAGTTATGAAATGTTAAGATTCCGTGGCGGATTACTGCTTTGTCCGCTTTCGGTGGACTCAAAGCGAAGTCTTCAAAGATAGAATAATGAAAAGAGTTAATTTTATTCCAGAGACCGAATGAGAGATTCTCTTGGCTGCTTTCGCAGAATGACAAACGGATAATAATTGTCAAATTCATGCTCCGTTATTATCACTGAGTAATTTCGTAAAGGAGTCGTTAATAGGAGGACATCCTTTGATACATTTTCTTCAGTCTTCTTAGACAGATCACTTCGGTCGAAGCATAACCTTAGAATTATATAACGGAAGCAGTTAGCGAGTCTTGTAAAACTGATTAATTTGTCGCGAATATTAATCGTGTGATTAGATAGAAGAACAAGTGATTTATAAAAACAAAAAAATTCTAAAAATTTTAACGAATGAAACACACAGTTAAAGTTTCAGTAAAAGTAAAATAAATGTTTTGTGTTTTTAGCGTATCAGCTTTCATAGTCACGCATCAATAGTTAATGGACGGATGGAAGTATGACTCGTGTACTTTTTTCTGGCAAAAGTTTCCATTAGAAATAACAGACAGACATCCCATCCATAAATAAAGCAGTATAAAGGCGCTGCGGACGGCGGAATAATCGAAACGATGGAAAAAGGATGATTCGGTGCCTCGTGAGATAGTTCTTTTCCATGATTGTCAAAATCGATAGTTCAGAGATTTTCAACTCTCCGGCGATCTGACAAATAAATTTTCCGCGTGAGAGAACCCCCGAAAATACAACGAATTCTTTTTCAATGCAGATTTTCAATTTAGATGTTCACGCCACGAGCATAAGCGAATCGCGTGCGAAAGGAAGCATAAAGTATACAGATCGATTGTGAACTGCCGAATCACAATTTTAGCCGACCCCACGTTGCTACACGCTCGATCCTTCCCTGTGATTGGCAAGTGAACAGAAAAAAAAGAAAGAGGAAGAAAAACAGAGAAATTCATTCCGCGTGTATAATACGTATATATGAAAACCACAAATTCGACAAATTTGGAAGAGACTTTTTTAATGCGAATGCTTCCCAAGTATTTTCTGTAATTAAATTTCACTGATACAAGTAGATAACCAGGGCTTTGCTCTTCGGTTATTTCTAAATTCCCTTTCATCCGCGCACAATTTTAATCCTAGACTTGCCAGCCTTCTCTAAGAAAGAAATCTCACTCGAGTCCGTCGAAGCGTCTACCTCTGTAAAGCCACTAGATTTCGAGAGGAAACGATTCCCACGTTTCGTTCCTCACACGAAATCGCGTCATTCCAGACCGCTAACGAAGGGACTGATCCTCCGCGCAAGGTGAAAAGCTCGCGCGCGGAAAATCCCTCGCCGTAAACGTTCGCTTTTCACGCGTTTCCCAAGGCGCGAGCCTGATGTCTCAAAGGCACGAAAATCCTTTCTTATCGCTCAGACGGCGGGTTTAATATCAATGCGACTCGCGAAGCGGAGCGAGATTCGCGCCGGGGTTGGTTTGCTTCCCATCCCCGTCTGGATATTCCCTCGGCATCCTGACCTACCGAAATCGCCGTCGAGCATCGACGGGCCGATTTTCCGCGAGAGCCGTCAAAGGTCGCGACGTCGACGCAACTCGCGGCTCGAAACGGCTTCTTAATAAAGACGGGAATGTCCCGGCAATGAGAGTTCGCGCGCGCCCCTTACCGACGACGGCGGGGAGGTCCCTCCACCTCTCGCCCGCGGCCGCGGCGCGAGAGGGTGACTGAGCGAGGGATGAACGGGGGCATGGCAAGAAGAGGACGCTTGCGCCCCATGACCGCGTGGCCGCTTTCGAGCGGCCACCTGTACGCCCACCCTCTCTTCTCCCTGTCTCTCTCTCTCTCTCTCTCTCTCTCTCTCTCATCCCCATCGAAAGCACAGCGGCTTCCCATATATATAAAGGTTGCCTCGGTATCGCCACACTTCGCATCATTACCGCGGTAACGTGCAATCCACTCAATCTCCAGCCGCTCTGATCTTCGCCGCTTCGACGCGAGACCTGCGAGAGTATCTTCTTGGTGAGTTCGACGATTTCTGTCGTGAGCACGTATGTGTACTCTGCGTCGTTTCTCTCGTGTCCTCCTTATCGCGTTACGTTCTTCACCCTCTCTTCTTTTTGTTTTTCTTCCTTTTTTTTTTTAACAACACACGGCTGTGACAGCACGCGGCCGGCTCGTAACCTGAGTGTCTCCTCGCGCCGTCTCGTGTTCTTACGTGTACACGTATCTTTTGCTTTTGTTTCGCTGACTGTGCGGACAATGCGTCGGAATAAAATCCGTTCGGTGCGTGAATCGCGTCCGGGGCAGCCGCGGGAGGCAGGTCGGAGGCCGAGTCGTGTCCCACGCTGGAGGGAAATGGTCTCATCGACGGGAATGTTGTCGGGAAAGAGTGCGAACGTTGAAAGATTCATCTCAGGACTTGTCTTACTCAAATATTCATAATGACTCGCTTCATGATCGCCCAAAGTATCGTCTCTCTGCGACGCAGCCCCGCGCCTTCCATCGTTCGGCCGCGCGCGAGCAGCTCGCGAATTTCACCCCGAGAAACGCGCGACACGGCGCGCACGCCTTGACGATGACGTCTCTCACGCGGCTTGTAGTCGAGCGTAAGCGGCGGTTCTTCCAAATTACCACAAAATACGACTCTCTCCGCCGAAGTTCCCGTCGAACTTCTTCGCCTGGAAACGCGCGCGTTCGCTGGCCGTCAAGCGCTCGGCGTTTCACCGTGAAGACTCATCGTCACCGACGAGAGAGCGCGAGTGGAGAACAATCAACGGCACGATAAGTAATCACGGACGGCCAAAATCAATGCTACGTCTACTCGTGCTCGTCGTGCTCGAACTCGAAGAAGCAGTCACCAGTGCGTGGATCTCGTTCGCGAGCGATCCGAAATCGATGGCGCGCCTCGTTCATGAGACGAGCTGCGATTTTTCGTTCATTATCCGCTAAGCATTAAGACGCCCCGTTGATAATTAATTAGCTGACGCAACGTGTACGTTAAGCTCGGCTGTCGCGAGCCGAGATAATTGCGAGAGGATTCTCTCTTGCGCCGTGGAAAATCGCGAGTCGACGGCGAGTCTTTCATAGCGGCGCTTTTCCCGCTTAGTGACCGATTACGCAACAAATTCGACTGCTCTTCCCGCGGATAAATGTATTAAAGTGTCATGAAACATGCAAGTCCTGCGCAGGTTCCTATCACCCGCTGTGAAGATAGCCGGCGAGCACAAATGCGATTTTACCGTCTCTTCACAGCGGCACTTGTACATTATTTATGCTGTTTAAAAGCCCGTGGCGCGCCCCCGGCGAAAAGACGGGCAATTATCTCGACGGGGAAACTCGTCGAGTTTTAAATCGCCGTTAATCGAGGTTAATCAAGGTTAATCGGGGGAAACGTGGGGAGATAGTCATCATATCGCGTTATTAGCGAATTAGCCGTCAATGATTTCGAGTCTTCAGGTTGAAACTTATTTTTTATTTTTGAGAGGACGACGAGAGAGAGAGAGAGAGAGAGAGAGAGAGAGAGAGAGAGAGAGAGAGAGAGAGAGAGGGAGAGACAACGAGAAGGGGTGTTAACGACAAAAGCAGAAGCGTTCTTCTTTGCGGATGAATAAACGAGAAAACTGCGAAAATACACTCGATCCGGGTGATCTTTCAATGAAGTCGCGTGGTTATTAAGGCATTAAGAGAAGGAGAAGAGAAAGCTGCAAATAACGACGAGACCGTGGAGAACGTTTGAATTCTCACCGGACCCAGTTGAGTTTCCGACGAGAAATTGTCTCTGGATTTGTCCGCTTGCGGAGGATCTCGGAAATAGAGGTCTTTGCGCGCGTAGAAAACGTCGCGCCAAAAAGCGACAACGTCGTCTCTCGCGTTCGCTCGTCTTATAAAGCAATTATGCATGTACGTGTATCACGGTTTGCTCAGCGAGTGCGTGTGCTCCACATTGAATTCGCGAAACGATTAAGCGGATTTACCTCGGCGAATGCGGTCGGCGAGTAATCAACGGATCATACGTTATAACACAACGCGCCCGTAGAATTGCCGACAGATTCAGACCGACAACTTCGGGTCTGACGTAATTGGGATTTTTGCGCCGCGAATAACAACGAGACGCGCGAACATCTGTGACGATCGCGAAGGAGATACAGATCCGATAGGTGAAAAATAAAATATGCGAAGTGACGCACACATTACTCTCTTTTTCTCTCTCTCTCTCTCTCTGTATTTTACACGTCGAATCAAATTTCTGGGAGAGCTCCGCATTTGCCGAAAATTTTTTTAGTAACGTTCTACTTGTATTCGGCCACCCGAGATACAATTTGAGCAGTTTTTGCACGCGAGAGGCACCCAAAAGTATTCCCGGAATCTCTAAAAATACGACGCTCTTTCTCTCTCTCTCTCTCTCTCTCTCTCATGCGAATCGCATGGTATTCGTATCAGCGCTGCGAGAATCTCTGAGGAATCTTTATCGACGAGGCAGTTGTGCAGTCTCGACTTTTACGCGCGCAAGTTACCTGACGGCGTGTCATAGACGGTGATTAATCGTGATCAGCGTGCTGCTGGCGAGAAACTTTCGACCGGCGCGGCAGTTACGAGCGGCGAAACGACGACGACGGGGGGAGAGACGATCGTTAGATTTCAAGTAAACATCCCGCTCGTCGAGTCGCGGGACGTTCGGGGCGCACATATTATCGGCTTGTGTGCGAATTTCACGGCCGAAGGCGCAAATGTTACCCGCCGACACAGGTGTTACACTCTCGCGCACAGCACGCTCGCACGCGCCGAACCCTCTCTCTCTTTCTCTCTCTCTCTCTCTCTCTCTCTCTGTCTTTCGTTCTGCGACTGCCTCTGCGTTAATAGGAATTATCCCCGTATTAATATACCGTATGTGACACACAGACCACGATGCTAGTTCGCACAAACCCGCACATCCCCCCTGCCGCGGATCGTCGAGCGCGGTGGTTGAAGTAACGAATTACGCGAAGGGGGAAGGGGATAATTTCGACGGGAAACCGAGGCGTCACGGATGCTCGCGATACGCGATACCGCGCCCGGCGACGAATTAACGGCGAATTAACGATAAGTTTGTGAAAAATTGGCGCGGAAAAACGCTCGAGCCGAGCACGCGCGCGTCGTCGCCTCGCGGCGGTTCGCATTCTAGGCGGAATTAATTAGCGGTCCGATGAATTATTCAGCAAATGCAGCGTCGATGGTGATGGCTTTTTTCCTTCTCTCTCTCTCTCTCTCTCTCTCTCTCTCTCTCTCTCTCTCTCTCTCTCTCTCTCTTCCTCTTCACAATCACCTCGCTCACTGCGCGATGTCAGGCGCTGATGCGGGCTATCCTCCTCAAAGCTGGTAATCCGAATCAGCGATCTAATCTTGGTAAGCGCATTAATTAGTAACGCCATTCTTACGCCGTTACGGCCGCGGAAAGTACGGCGCGCGCGCGCGCGCGCGGGCGACATGAAAACAAGCGCGAATCAGAATGCTGTATGGTAAGTTCGCGGTGGTTAAACGAGGCTGACCGTGCGCATTAGCGCAATAACAGATGTAAGTTTATCGAGCGACCGAGATACGCGTGCTACGCGCCGGTTAACTCTTTGCAGCGCTTCGGACCTTGCCACGCTCCGACGGGACATTTTACCTGATTAAATTATTGCAACGACACTTCCGCGTAGAGCAACGCTCTACGGTCGCTCGATAATAGCTATCTTTTGCAGCACCGCCGTGTTATTCAACGACGGCCAAAGCCCACACACTCGGCGATTTTGTTGGCGTAGCGTCTCGAATTTATCTTCCTTTGTTCCTCTCTCTCTCTCTCTCTCTCTCTCTCTCATTCGCTCGTCTCGCGACGTTCAAACGTCGCGCGGGGAAATTATGTCAGCGCGCGCGACGAGTGTTATATAATTTCAGCCGGGCCGAGCACGCACGACGGCGACGGCGAGGACGATGCGAAAGCACCGCGATCACACATTGTGTCGACCCCGTTGTTCGAATTATACCGAAGCACTATCTCTGTCTTCCCACCGTGTGAAAAGAAAAAAAAAGAGAGAGAGAGAGAGAGAGAGAGACCATTCTTTCCCGTATCGATTAGATAACGCGCCCGATGACACGCATGCGACACACAGCGCACATATGTCCGCGGCGAAACCCAAGTAGATGCGCAAGATCGTGTGCCGCAGGAAATGAAGCGAGGCATTGTTTACCTGTGTGATTGCAGAGAGAGAAAGACTATGGACGCTAGACGCATCACAGGCCTGCTCGCTTTCGCCGTAATCGTTGGCCTCGCGAGCGGAGTCGAGAATTACATGGATTACTCAGGTAAGTTTGATTTTTAGAAATCTCAAACTCAAATTCCTTTTTCAAGATATATGTACACCAAATTATTTTTTTTCAAGATATATGTATACCAAATTAAAATTCTTTTCTTTTCAATATATAGATATATATGTAACATCAAACTCAAATTATTTTTTTTTTCGAGATACACATCTGTATGTAACGTATAAGTCTTTACAAGTAAAACTTATTGTTTCTTTTTTTCAAGATACATATATACCAAATTCAAATTATTTTCTTTTCAAGATATATACGTAACATGTAAGTTTTTACGAGTAAGATCGAGAATTGCATGGATTACTCAGGTGAGTTTGATTCATCGCGAGGAATGAAACGCCGGTACAAAATAAGCAGCGAGGACGAGGGGCTAATAAGAGCCATCGCTGGACGGCGGGGAGAGACGATGTAGATCCTTACGAGAGGATAAAATTGCTCGACGGTGTAACGCTGCGCGCCGAATTCATTTCCCGGATTTCAAATTGCATTTAAGTCATCGCGGTCAACATTCAGCGACGATTGGCCTTTTATTCTTGCAGGTTGCTCGGAATCTTCAATGTCTATCTCTCTCTTCATCTCTCTTTCTGTCTGAAGAACGTTTGCATAAGGGTAAAGAAATAACGTAAAAATCGCGTTTGCTCGCGCGGCAAGAGTGACGTCAGCGGAAAAGTTGCGTTTTTCGATGGAATTGTTGGACGCATTACGGAAAAACAGCGAGAAATTGTCCCCTCGAGGATTAATACCAACTGCGACAAACTCGAGTTCTATGATTGCCTCGCGTTTTCGCATTTTTCGCTTTTGGATCAAGAGGACCCGCGTCCTGCCAATGAGCGGATTATAACCGATTTCCCCGCTGCAATTCCACTAGTTCCTGCAATTCATCCGGATTGCTCCCTCTCTCTCTCTCTCTCTCTCTCTCTCTCTCTCTCTCTCTCCCTTTCTCTTCCTCCCTTCCTACCGCTGCTGAAACATCACAACGTGGTACAATCGAGAGGGAAAAATTCCGCGAGCCTTGCAATCGCGCGATTCTCGCGATAGCGATTATTAGTATCGCGATTATTATCGAATATCGCTCAATTGCCCGATGTCGAATAAACGTTCGGCAAATCTTATTACGGAAATGCGTTGATACGGCGCGTCCAATTTGGGCTTCGTTATCCCCGCTGCATTTTTCACACTGCCTCACACATACACACACACACACACACACAATCGGACTCGCGCCGCCGTTTTTTCAAGGGGACGTTCGCTCGTCTTTCTTTCGAAATTCGTCGTTCCGACGGACGAGCGAGATCGCTCGGCTCTCATGATAATAACGACTCTCGCCTCACTTTGACAACCCCTTGCTTGTCGTAACTCGTATAACTTCGTATAACGTCGTATAACTTCGTGTTTTTCTGAGCCACTATTCCCTCGTCGGGCTGTAAGACTCATTAAAGTTTTAGTCTCACTCGGCATGATAACACGTTTTGTATTCCATTACCGGTAATGCCGCGTATCAACGCGCGGGAGACCGTCGCTCCGTCTCTCCCACCACAATAATTAATGATCGCGCGCTGGATGGTTTATTAAACCGGCAGCTTCTAGACCATGCTGAAAAATAAGTCTAATTAAGCCTTCCGCTTCGCGCTTCGTTCTCCATCACGATCCGTGGCGCTACGTCGTATTAACATGAAATTACCTCCCGTTATCAGCCGCGTCTCTGAAGGAATTTATCGATCGCGCGCGAACGGCAATCTTTATAAAAGCGCGAGCTGCGCGCAGCTGCGTTTAATTCGCCGTCTCATGTTTGGTAACACATCCCTCGCCGATAAAACCGAACCGCCAGCTCCCCTGTTTCCTCCCCTTATTCCAGCGGTAATAACGAGTTACCCGCGACTCATCAAACGCGACCGGCTCATACTTCGTTACGGATCAAGCGGTATTTGCAACGCGCGCTAAATTCGCGACGACGGCTATCGCAAATCTAATCCGACCGTTTGCTATCGATCGCGTCACCTTTTTTCATCATCGTCCCGAGCGTGCGAGCGCGATTGGTCGGACGGACGTTCAATAGCTCCCCGTAAAAAGGCTGAAATTTTATCATGTAGCCTGTCCGACGTCGGGCGTCGTAATAATCTCGTTACAAAACCGTCGTCTCGGGAGAGAGCCAGCCGTCTCAGGGGATCTTTTCGTCTCGTCGATAGCCCTCGATGCTCGAGCCGCTCGAGCGACGAATTTCAGCGCGCGCGTTTTCACTTTGCCGTGGAGGTGCTTGTAATTACTCCTTTCTCTTCGCTTCCCTGTGCGCGCTCGAAGTCTCGATAGATCTCCCCGCATAGCATAGTTTCTACGTATTATTTATCGAAGCTTTCCGTATCGGAGTATCAGAGAAGCTATTAACAAAGCGCGTAGACTACGAAGACAGGGGGGAGGGTGGTAAAGTTTAATGCGACACGATCCGCATTATGAAGCGACAAGAGCAACGTGGCCGTACGGTAGTCAACAGGTGCATCAAATAGCTCGCGGCCGCAATTGCAACCGCGTATTATTATTAGTTTTATCCCCCGTCTCCCCCCCCCCGCTCCCCCGCCCCGGGAACAATTGACGGGAAAACCGACGTCGCTGCTGTGGTCGCGATGCGCCGATTTTTGGCGTTAAAATTTCTGCCTTCCTGCGCGCTAAAATATTTTCTTGCCAAATATTCGATTTATTTGATGGCTCACGCGCGCGAGCTGCGGTTTCCGATGATGAAAAAGCTGATACGTCTCGCGCGCGTCACCGCGTAAAAAACGTAGCTGAATTTCGCCGCGCAGGTTTTTCAGAAAATTGAGAGAGAGAGGGAGAGAGAGAGAGAGAGAGAGAGAGAGAGAGAGAGAGAACGGTGCCTATCCAATTGGAAAATGGTCTCCCCGCTCGCCCTCGTGGGGCTGCGAGACGCGCAGGGAGAAATGTTGTCCGCTGTATGTACAGCTGCAGGGTCGCGACGCGCAGTTAGCTCTAACAAAGAAGAGAGTCGTTTCTTTAATCGCAGAAATGCAACGTCCGGCTGCACGGCGTCGGCTGATCTTTTCTCTTAAAAAAAAGAAAAAAAGAGAGTAAAAACAGACGCACCATCGGCGATGTCTCGTCATAACTCGCGCGCGCGCGAGTTGGAGAAACGGCGACGCGTCGTTGTCGCCCCGCCGCGGGTGAAATACTTCTCCTCGCCGCCCGGCATCTTTTTCTCACAAGACGATCCATACGCGCGAATAAAAGTGAATAATCGTTATAACGCGCGTTATGTACGCTACTAACCGTATAAACGTCCGTCGATTCGTATGGCCCCGCGCGCTTATACGAAGAACGCTACTTATCGTAAAGCGGCTTAATGTCGCATAAAAAACGGGCGTACCTGCAAAGCGTCGTAGTCTCTCTCTCTCTCTTTCCCTCTTCCTCTCTCTCTCTCTCTCTCTCTCTCTCTCTCTCTCTGTACTTTCGCATAAAAGTGGATACTTGCATCGCGCGCGCCTGATTTACATTATTTCTCCTTCTTTTCCTTTCCGGCGCGACACGTGTAGCGTGCCGAGCCTCGCCAACCCTTCGACGGGATGCTCCTCTTCCTTTCCACCCTCGGCGTGGAATTACCCAGCCATGCGCGATTGTGTTGTAGATGAGCCGACGGATAAAACGATGGATTGGATCAACGAGTTGTACAGGCTGCTGATGCAACGCAGGGCGCCGGAAGACAACTTCTTCGGCACCCCGCTGGAGCATATAATGACGCGGAAGTCGCAGAGATCACCGTCCCTGCGCCTTCGTTTCGGTCGTTCCGGACCGCACACCCTCGTAAGTTGTCGTCATGTCGATTTTTGTGCACCTGCATCCTCCCTTCCCCTCCTCTTCTTCTCTCTCTCTCTCTCTCTTCCCGTTTCTTTCCTTGTCTTTCAGCTTTTCTTTCCCATCGCCATTTCCCATGTGTGTGCCACACTTTCCATCGTGATCATTTGATAACGAGACAATTATTCTGAAGAATTTGTTTCCGTTTTGTAACGTGGAGTTCAACGTGGAGTAAGACGTTCCCTCGCGTTGGCTGTCTTGCTCTACGTTTTCCGCACGTGTTTTCCCCCGCTCGAGATCGAGTGCGCGTTCAAACGGACGAATAAATTGCGATGCCGCGTATGTCGAGTCCCTTCGGTCGGGCGGGAAAAAATGTAGCAGCGGAGTCTCCGGGAAAACTCATTAGAGTTGAACCAACAAGCCATATTGCTAGGCTTACTGATAATCGTTTATTTTTTCGCGAAGCCATCCGCAAACGCTCTCCGAGAGGCTCATCAGTCGCTAGAAGGGCGAGATGGGCGAGACTTCGGATTTCTGCGTTTATCCGTGTCCTCCGCCGGAAAATTGCCACGAAATAATTTGAGAGAAATAATATTCTTTCTTCACGCTGAACTTGTAAGAAAGGCGTTCTTCATATTCAAATAGATCGCGAAATCATTTAAAGCTTCTTTCCTTCCTTCGCGTGTGTTTTTCGCGGTAAGACGATTATCCCGTCCGAAGCGTTTCACGGCAAACGAGGCGCTGATATAAAGCGTAACGCGATTGCGACAACAGACGAGATTAAATTGCGACGGAAAAATTCTCGCGGTTTTTTAATACGTGCGGCGCTCGGCGGCACACGAGAGGACAACGGAATTCTGCTCGAAACGCACCTATTAGGTATTAGTTGCGTGCGAATTATGAAGCTACTTCCGTTTTCGAACGCGCGCGGCTAATCCGTAATGCTTTTCGAGCTGCATTCCCCTTTGCATTCTATTCTTAATGTGACGTCTTTTTTCCTGGGAGATTAATTTTCTCGTAATTAGTGGGAGTGATACTGTCGCCGTGAAGCAAAGAGTCAGCGTGTTGCGCACGCCGGCACGCGAAACGAAATACAGCTGGGTAATTAAAAAGAAAAAAAAAATGACAGGAAATAAACAGGGAGAGATAAATAAGAAAATTGATACCGTCTTAACGAGCACTCGGTGCGTTAAAAGATCGTAATGGAGAAATGTGACGATATCACCGGGGCACAATTGCGACGAATGTAAAATATTAATTAAAGAGCCAAACTCACTTTGCACGTGGAACGGTATGTACACAGAGTTTAAAAATACGTACGAAGGGTGCTCCGAGTATTTCCCGCGCTCCCCCTTCCCATCCCCGCTCTCACTTGTGTACACTGAAGAAAATATTTAATATCTCTACTGTTTAGTTGAGGCATTATTTAATAGCAACCAAATATCTTGCTTTATATAACAAAATATTTAGTTGTCCCAACTAAATATATTTTTCTGCTTTGTTCTCTGGACCAAATGATTTTGTTCTTAGAATTCATATATAAAAATTAAGCATTTTAGTTATTTCATTCATAAAAATTACATAACGAAATGTTATTTTACATAAACTAAAATAATGCCCAATGGATACTATTTTGTCTTTCCGTGCGCTAAAATTTAGATATTATATATTAAGAAAAAGTTATAGTATTTTTAACAAAATTCATATAGTTCAAGCTCTTTGATTGCTATAACAAGAGTATTACGTTATACGAACAAACAGTGATCAAACAAGATATTTGTTTACAAGAACTAAACAGTTTTGTTGGGCATATTTTAACCAAATTATTTTGTTGTTACAACAAAATTTTGGCTCACGTAACAATACATTTTTCCTAGTGTACGAAGTTGTGGGCTGATTTAAAGTCAATTGTTTGTCGGTGGAAATATTTGGCGGTCACGTCACACTTCCAAAGAATAAGCGACCTAAAGTTGTTTACAGTCGAACAGACGATAAGTGATCTAAAAGCTGAAGAGCGAGCAACCGCCTTATTTTATTTGTTGTTTCACCGTGTGAGACATTTTAAGAGGCCGTCCGGTATAAATCGCCCTACATTTTTTCATGATAAATTTTGTAAGGTGCTCTGGGCTATCACCCTTATTCACTCATAAAAGCTCACTCATAAAAGCTCACTCATAAAAGCGTGAGGATATTATTCTGCTTGGGAAAAGCTGCGATATCTCACTAAAAAGAAACTTGTAAAAAATTCACCTTCGAACCTTTGGTTTTGTTAATGAGTCGCGATATTAGTGCTCTCGCGCACGCCCACACACAAAGTGTCCTAGATCTCGTGTGATCTTTCCCTTCGCCTGTGTGAATCTTTCTAAGCAATTCGACCTCGTTATCCTTTTTACCCTTTTACCTCTAACGTTCGTCTTCAAATATTTATAGTCAATCTTCAAAGTAAAATATAGTAAGTGGTTAATTTCGTGTCGGAATTAAACGAAGATTGAGATCTATTTTTGCACTTAACGTCCACCAATTTATGGCAGTCGTCAAAATTTGCCAAAGTTTCCGAGAGCTGTCGCAAATTGCGCGAAGAACTCGTCCGCGGAGAGGAAAGTTATATACATATTAACTCGTGTCTAACATTTCTCGGGATTATAATAAAACCGCACGATAAACATCCAGCGAGGCGATCGTCCCGGTATATGCTCTTTAACACGAGAAATAAGCAAACTGCATTTTACAGTAACACCGCACTGTGCTGCGTGCGTGTGAGAGTTATGTGTGTGTGTGTGTGCGCGCGCGCTTGCTGAAAGTAGGTGCGCTCTGTCCGTCTTTTATCGCGTGTGTAGCCGCGACGAGGAATGCGCAATTTTATCGCGTCTACATCGTCCATTCGTACTATTCAGGAGGCGAGGCATGCGTTTTAAGAAATCAATTTCGCCGTCGCCCCGTTTCAGCTGTGAGTTTCATGCCGTTACGCTCAGAAATTACGCGAGTGCTACGCCTCCGTTCACTCCGTTCACACGATACACCCGCCAGGCTAGGCTAGAAGACCTAGCTGGATGTGGACGAGCTTCTCGCATCCTCAAAAGCTCGTCGCAAAATCACGTCGCGCTGCCTCATGCTCAACGAAGCGCGCGATACCTTTTTCTAACAAAGGTATGTATATTGTACGTCGCAGAACGTCATCTTTTCCGATACGGTGTAAATACGGCGAAAAAAGCTCCGGGCCGAGAAAGTCGAGGAACCAACGACCTGTCCGTTCATCCCCGCGAGAAATCTGCCGCGTGTTGGGGCAGATCGAAGACGAACGAAAAGATCGCCAGCCACTCCGAGTAGAAAAATTAATAGGGCTCTGGTAAGGGCCTGATTCTTTTTCCCTAACATTAATCGAGCCCTAAAGATAGAAAGACAAGGACCCTACAAGATGTGTAACAAATGGTTTAACGGGCCCTTATGAGGCAATCTCGACAGGGCTTTATGAGGTAATAATTAATAGGGCCTTATAAGGAGATATTTTTATTATATTTTTATTATATTATTATATTTGTATTATATTCGTTTCTTTCACTCCAAGAAATTTAGAATATAATTTCTTCATTTTTTTTATAACCTTGTTACAGTGTACAACAAGAATTTTTTTATTTTAAAAATATAGCATCCCTAAAAAACCCTTCTAAGGCCCTTCTCAGATTTCCTTATTAAAATTTTATTTCATAAAATCTAAGGTATATCTCTAAAAGATCCAGATCTCGGGGCCTATAATGATAATAATGAGGCATCCCTTTTTAGGGCATCTTTCTTTCAGCCTTGTCGGGGCCTTATATGACCGGGTTCCAAGTTTGCGACTTGTAATTCGCGTCGGAGAGGGCAACGCGCAACGTCATGAACTCTCAGGGTTTACAAATGACCGTAATAAATTAATAGCAAGATTTTAACCCTCCCGACGGAGTGGCGACTGACTGGAGACCCCTTGCCGATGGAATTCACGCGTTTGCCTGTTGTAATTGGAAAACTTTCCGCTTCCGTCAGCCTCGCCAATCATCCTACCTCGCGGAAAACTCTTGCCGAGTCGCGCGCGCTACGAGCTCGCACTGTCGGCGATCGCGACGACGACGGCCACGGTGATAAGTACAAATTCCCGCGGTGAAGGAATGACGTGAGACGCATTACGTGACATTTTTAGCCGGATCGGCAAACCGCACCTCGAGACAGCGCCGCACGTGTCGGCGACGCGGCCGTAATTCGCGAGGTACCGCTCTTCAGCAATTTGTTTCTACGCCAAAGGTTTCTACGCTCCTTCGTTAGCGTCGCGCGCATTCATGCGAGCGCGGAACAAACAACACGGTCAATAATAACAATCGTCATAATGACAACATTTCGACGCGCGGTGCGCGAGTTACCTTAGCATTACAATATCTCGCATAAAATCGCGTATTCACGCTAATGACACTCGGACGTTTCGAACGTTTCAATTACGCGAAATTACGCGGCACGCGCGTTGCACGTAGATTGATGCAGCGAGGGGAGATGTTTCCCTGATTGGCCAGGATTTTCTCCTCTCCCGCCGTCAAGCACGCGCAATCTCCCCCTCGACGAGATCGCACGCCAGCAGCGGTCATTTGAATCAAGGAGCTTTTCTTTCGCCGCCAAGCCCCCCGGCCCTTCCAAATTGCGACCTCGATCGTCGACCTCTCGCTAATCAGCCACCCCGCGTTGCGCCTCCGACTATTCCTGACGAGAACTTGGCGTTACGAGATACTTTCACTCGGAGGATCCGCAAGTTCGAACTTGCAAGTTGCCGGTAACCAATCGGTAACCAGTGAATCCTGGCCGTCAATTATTTTAGTCGATAATTACAATCTTTTGATCATCTCGTCGGACGCATTTGTCGATAATCGCTCTCACACCCTAATAAACTAACGAGAAACGTAGGTTTTCTGCTTTGGAACAGTTCCCTCCGCCCTTCGTCAGAACGTTAAGCAAATTCGTATCGACAGATTCTACCATTCCTTGTTCCTCTTGATCATTTTTCTTATTCCATTTCGCGCGCGTATTAATACGCAATAATTGACCTCCGATGCCCTATGGCGCCTCTCGGTCGTGCCTCTCCCTATCGCGTGCCGCTTGTCAATCGTCCCTCAGTCCCTCAGTCCCTCAGCGAGCAGGACGAACCGTTCCTCATCCCGAGAGCGCCTTGCTTCTGCAAGGCGCTCTCCGATTTTCCCGGCCGGCACGGCCGGGAAGTCGTGACGGCGCGCAATTAACTGGATTTTCACGAGCGATTAAGTAATTAGCATCGTCGCATCGTGTGTTCCAGGGGATCTTGCCGAGACCGATGGGAGGCCCAGAGGCGGGATACGACGACAAGAATTAATCGGCGGAGCTGATTCACCCAGAGGCACCTTCTTCCCGTTTCGTTCGTCGATGAAAACGCCTACCCTCTCTCTCGTATAAATCACTCTCGCATAAGTCTGTTTCGCTCAGCGCTCCGCGCGCATGTTCGCCGCATCTTCCCGAAAGTCTCTCGCGCCATGTCCGTCGAAGAAGCGAAGAGGAAGCGGGGGGGGAGAGAAAACAAATTTGCGCGTCTCGATTGTGCGAGGACTGATCGGAAATGGGGGAGTGGCAGGGTGAAGGGAGGAAGAAAGAGAGAAGAAGAAATTGTTCCTTCGTCGCGTGCGGCACGCACGACGCGTCGTCGTACGCTAATCAAATTTAGAACGTCGACGGTGATTGATAACGCGCGGACGCGCAATTCCTCTCGCTTCGCGCGAGGCGTCTTCGGCGAAGATTCGCGACGTGCAATCACTTTTGCGTCTCGAGAGACACGTTTCACGCATTCCTGAGACTCTATCACTTCGCTGTCCGCTTCGTGGCCGCTCGAATATCCTCGTCGAACGACCGTCGACGCGCGCGCGCGCGCTCGCTCGCTCGCTCGCTGTTCCTGTTGATTAGCGGCCGGCGGCCCGCTGTAAAAGGACACTTGGCCTAAGTCCTTCATCCGACGCGAGTCGACTAATCCACATCGCAGCTTGATTGTTACGGATCCTGTTATGCCTTCGTTTAATTACGCACCGAGACGCCACCGAGATGCTGCGAAATGCATTATTTCGCGCGCGAGTCGCGCGCTCAGCTTCGTCGAATGACGAATCCGGCGTCGATTGTCACTCGGCGAGAAGCGTAACGCTACTTCTCATCGTTATAGCCACGTTTGATGTTTCGAGACAGGACTCAGACAATGAATTTGCGCCGCGAACGAACGATGATTGATGACGAGCGCTTGTGTTTCTGTCTCGCCGGAGTTTCGTTCTCGCATCGCGCTTGATTATTAATTTCTTCGTCACGCCTGGCCTTCTCTCAGCAGCATGCGCACCGAGCAATTCCGTAGTCCTCCCAAACTGAATTATCGTCTTAAGAAAGATGTCGGCCAGGCTCTTACAGGCCGTTATAGGATCTTTAAAGTCACTCGATAGCTCTGAGACGCTGTGTAATCGTCAACAGGCTGGCCTGTTGGTCGCCACCGGCCGATCGCGTGGCCTCCCGATAATTGTGCCAAATAACATGACCGTTGTATGTGGTAAAGTAAACAAGAAAGCAAAAAGAAAACGGAAACGGTTTTATCTCCGCTGTAATCTGTGACGACGCGGAGACGTAGACGAGAAAGCAGCCACCGCGTCGACGTTTCGAAACTTCGCCCGTCGCGGACGGGCGCGGTCGCAGGACCTCCTCCCCGCTAGGCGATAGCAAAATTGGATTATAACTGTTACGCGGAATTAGCGGCGCTCGATAAAGCCGTGAAGAGTGTCTCGACTGTGTGGATGTGTCAATTTGCAAAATTAAAAATAAATTATTATGTAACACTGTGTCACACACATTTATTCCTCTGCAGCAAATGTGTTCAAGATTCTTCAGCCCTCACGAATCCCTCGACTGAGACCTTTTCCCTGAGGACACTCGATCAGCTCTCTACGTTCTAATCTCACGGATTAGAAAAATAATTTTGAAGAATAATTTCTAACAAGACGCACGAAAGCTACTCTTTGAAAGTCTACAATGTAGTGCGACGAAATCAAACGAAGCACGTTGACATTTGACTTCTTCTAAAGCCGAGAAACTTATTTACTTCATCCTTATTATCTTGAGACAATGATAAGAATAAAATGAATTTCTTGGTTTTATGAGATAGCAAGTATCAGCGTATTTTATTTGATCTTGTTGCGCTACAAGATTCGTGTACCGGCTCTTGAATATCCTTTTCACTTAAAAGCTCATTGATTCGATTATACATAATATGGAAAAAATCATTATTATTTTATATTATATATATATATATATGTCTAAAAAATGTTCTGTTTTTACTTAAAACGTGCCGATCTGACGAACGAGCAAATCCGTTTGATCGACTGCGCCACTTCCCTGTCTTCGTGGCTGAGATCGCCGATGTTCTTGAATTCCGGTCGTAGGAGAACCTGACTGCGTACGCGCTCCAACGTAATCGACAGCGGCATCGTCAACACTCTCGACCAGTTGGTCGCCTCGTAATTAGCCATAAACTGAAACATCCACCGATGTGAGCAAAGCGGCTTCGCTGGTGAATCTCGAGACTTCGTGGTGCACCGATTAATTCACCGACCTGATCGAAGCACGTATCCTCGATGTGGAACATTATGTGTGTAAGAGGTTTCACGACGGGCGAAACTTCCGGCAGATTAATCAAGTCTGCCTGTCTGTTTTTCTCGTCACGACGTAAGTTACTTAGTACCCAGTCGGACGCTCGGATTAAATATTCATACACGATCTGGATGGCAAAAGTTATGCTCATGAATTTCGATGCATTCGTTCTCTATGTAAACATTTCGAACACGTGAGTTACTTCACTGACTTTCAAAGAGCGTCGCCCGGTGCTCGTGAACAGCAACTCGTCCGTGTAGGTCTCGATGACGCAAGTCATGTTCTGCAACTCGCTATTCCTCGGATTTTCATTTTCCTTCTTGAGACTGAAACGGGGTTTCTTCGATGATAAGCGAGGTAAAGAATAGAAAATCAATTTCAATTGATATCCGATTGATTCAAATTCCACTCGAGTCTCAACTCTCGACACCAAGGTGTGAAAACGCACCTCTCCTTCACGAGCAGCAGGAAGGAGTCTATCTGCGCCGTGTGTTTGTTATCCTCGTCGATGCTGCAAATCGCCTCGGCGAGCGCCGTGGCGGCGGTCGATCTGTCGTACGGATTGAAGGGGCTGAGCTCACAGCAGCTCGTGTCCGAGGAGCTCGGTGTACCCTGGGGCTCGCTCCTGCCCCTCGAGGACACGTCCAGCAGGGTGGAATATAGGGCGGCGCAGAGAACCTGAAGCAGCACGTTGCCGCCGATCGGCCGACAGTGCGCGGGGATGTTGTCGTTCAAGGCGAACGCGGCGCGCAAAACGGGACTCGACGCCGTCACGTACAGCTCGGCGAAGCAGCCGATCGCCAAGGACATCGCCTGATATATGCTGGCACCTGTCTGGAGATGATTTTCGGGATCTGTCAAGATGCTGACTCACGCTGACGATTTTGCAAATGCAACTGTCTGCAAACTTCAAGGAATGACTCAATTTAAGTGATAATGATATGCGATAATTACTTTCGCGGCTTCCAAGAGCATCTCGACTATCGGCTGCATCATGATCTTCAGCGGCTTTACCAACGCATTGAGCCACGGCGGTCTCGATTGATTCCAGACCTTGAAACAGCACAGGTGAGTCGCGGTTATCGGTCTTCCACTCGACAAAGTGACACGTTATGAAATTCCTAGTCGCTGCAGTAAAAAAAAGCGTTTCAAGTCTGACAATAGACAGGCTGTAAAGGTCCTCGGAAACGTTCCTTTACTCGTAAAACCGTTTTTATGTTGAAGAAGGCAACGCGCGACGGGACGTTAACAACGTGAAAAGCTGTGAGCGCCTCTTTCGACAATCTTCACAATTCACGTGAAGAATACGCGACAAGGTCGCGTATATATTTTTTCGTAGAAATAAATGTCAAATGCCTGGAATCGTCGTTTGTGATAATTGCTGTGTATATTGATTAACGTTGTTAGTCATCGCTCGGTATTGTCTGTCATTATTTGATGCTCACAGCTTATCTTTAGTATGTCGTTTTGCGACAAAACAAAACATCGAATTTAAATTGCGCATTATCCGTTCGCACGAGACGCTTCCGAATTTAATGTAATTTGCGACATTTTAATGAGAATCGATATTCATTTTATCTCGTTGTGCAACATTTCGTAAAAGCACGCGACCTGTTGTCTATCCAGATAATTGGACCAATTTAGATCCTGCTTCAGCGCCGGTATAATTATGTGCTCCGGCTCGTTAACAGTTACCACCAGCACATGGAATAAACTGTATAGCGTCAGAGCGGAGGTTATTTTCAGTGATTTATCGCACGACGATCCGCTGCAGAGGAAACCGCCGCAGCTCAGCTGGTCCTTCTTCGATTTGTCAGACGCGTCGTTATCGTCGACGCACGTGACGCCGACGTTTTGACGCACCAGGCTCCTCAGCAGCATCCTCGCCACAACGTGATTGCTCATCGACATCACCTGCGAGCAGAAAGAAACGTTCCCTCTCGCGCTCGCCGATCGCATGATGAAGTAGCTAAAGAACGCTATCGTACAATTGCAATCACCTTCATCAGTTGAGGCCAGTTGGGCTGAGGCTGATGCCTCATAACGTTCAACTCAAGGACGACGGCCTTATCCTCGGATAAAGTCACGATGTCCGCCGGATTGTCAATCGAGCCCAACAAATTCGGGACGCATATTAGCAGCCAAGGGGCCGGGCCGCGACGAGGCCGCAGAATCGTCAGGTTCTCCAAGCCGTGTCGAAAGACCTGCACGATAATTACGTTTATATCAGTGCAACAATATAATGAGAAACGCAATGAAGTGAAAAATGTAATACGATATAACACGACGTAAGAAAAGAATTATCAATTAACACTCGAATATTCTGCGCTTGACATTTGTTGCTCGACATGTTACAGCATCCTCTTTTCTGAACCTTTACCTCCCAAGTGGAACAAAACATCATGATGACATCAAAATGACAAGAAAATGACCGAAGAATCATGATGCGAAAAAGAGTTTTCCCTCATCATTTTGATGTCGTTCTGATGTCATCCTGATTTTCTGCTCTACCTGGGCTTTCTTTACCTTTCTTTACCGGTCGGACAGGTAGACACAGAAGAATTAGGAAACGCCTCGGGCGACTTTACGTCAAGAACATCAATACCTGGTAGAGCTCCTTGAGGGGAGTGCCTCTGAGCAGCAAGCAGACCAGCAGTTCGTTACATTTCGCGTGCATGTCTCGTACAGCTGTCGACAAGTTGCTCGGACGCGCACCTATCATCTCGTCGCTGTCGATGCACGCGGCCAGAGCGAGATACCCCGTGCAGCAGAGCACGTTAAAGGCGTCCGACCAGAACTGCTCGGATCGCGCCAGCGTCGGTCGTCCCTGTCGCGGTATTACGCTCGTCTTTAAACCATTTACGATTTCCGCCCGCGATTAATGTCATTTAATTATATGTCAGGCTCGAGGGAGCGCTCAGCTTTAATAAATCGCGTACGAATACAAAGCGTACGTAAATAGTAAGACAAGCAAGCGGGCGAGATGAGCCAATAAATCGATTTCGCGAGTCGCAGTCGAGCGAGTCGGCCGGTGATTCATGTTGACAATAAAGCATCTCGCGGATAAGGGAACGAAGTACATTCGAAAGTTTAATCGCAGCTATCACTGACAGAGAAGAACAACACCGTAGCCTCTTACGTGGGTGAATCGCGTCGTTATGATCGAGAGTGACTCGTTTAGCATTCCTGCGAACACGCGCTGTGCCATCTTGGGCGAAACCGTGTTCCACAAATCCGCCTTGGTGCCTGAAAATATCAGTGTAGTTTTCGCAAGCGTTACACGTCGGCTAAGATCTTACCGAGCTGGCGTCCCTTCGACAGAGAAAGGAAAAGAAAAATAGGAGGGGAGAGAGAGAGAGAGAGAGAGAGAGAGAGAGAGAGAGAGAAAATGAAGAGACGCCGATCACTTAGGGATTAGCTTCACCTTGCATGTACAACCACCACATTTGTATAACGTAGGAGCAGCGTTCTCTCTCGAAGAATGGTTTATTGCTATGCCAGCTGAGCGAGTCCGCCTCGTTAAGAATGTACAAGGATATTAATCGACAGTGCAGATCGAGCAGCCTCTCCGCTACAGCCTCGGCCATTTCGTGAAACTCCTTGTACAATTTGTTTATTTTCTCGCTGTCGGGAAGAGAAGAAAGCAACGGTAAAGTGAGAGACCAGAAAGAGAGAGAGAGAGAGAGAGAGGGGGTTGCTGCAACTTTTTTGCAATATGAAGCACCTCGATTGTGAGGAAATTACTCCCTTCGCGTGCTGATTGTAACACCACAAGCAGTTTCGTACGAGCGCCGCCGCGCCCAAAGTGGCGGTGAGCACGGTGAGATCGGCGTGATCCAAGGATTCTTGAATCAACATGTGCAAATGTTCTGAAAGAAAAATGGCCGAATAATATATCGATACTTTTTCTCGATACAAGAAAATCCCTTACAAAGTTAAAAACTAAAATATTACTGAAAACGGTCACATATAAACGCAACGGATCGCACAGACTCGCAGGTTGATCTAAAATGCGAGAGTGAGTTATTTAATTATCTTAGAATCCCATCTCCTTCTTCTTTAGCAGAAATTCAAACCGAGATATAATTACAAAGACGTTACACTTCAAAGAGATCTTCCGCTCTGAGCGAATTAAATTTCCGGGGACGCAGATCTCCTTCATTCTTTGATTAATTTTCAATAATTAATTTACAATAGGCAAATCGGAGGACAAAAATCTTCTGTCGCACGGTACCAGACCATAAAGACGTTACCGAAATTTTCGATACACAAGTGAAAAAAAGAATTTAGTAATTAATCCAACTGCGCAATAATATTTAATTAGCAAACTCTTTGTAGCGGCAGGAATTCAAGAGAGAATCGCTCTTCTCCTGGAAGGGAAGCTGTCGACTGTAAATGTTACTCTTAACGATCTGCTTCGTATTGCATTTACCGTCCGGGATGCGTCATATTCCCGTTTACTTTCCCGTCATTTTCCCGACTGAAGCGTACCTAGCAACTGTTCGGCGGTGTCGACGACGAGGAGGATAAAGTCGGACGGTTGGATGCGCTTAATGGCACCGTCTTCGCTGTCGGCGCTGGACGCGCTGCCGTTCCCGGTGGAGCTTAAGCCAGAAGGTCGCTTAAAAGCGGCTGTGAAATCCGCTTCCCACCACGTGACGATTTTAATCGCAGCGAACGAGGCGTGCCGCGGAAAATCGAGTTTTCCGCCGCTGATGCGTATGCACAGCGGCTCCCTCAGGACGGTCTGCATTTCCTGCATCGCAAATTATGCCGCCGCCGACAAAGTGGATGTTAATTATACGACAGAACGTCGTATTTAAATAAGTCGGCGGGCAATCGCGACAAGTTAATTGCATTCCGTTGATTACGCGCGCTATTCGCTAACGTTACGCGTTTTCACCGATGTAATTGCAACACACGCGTGCGTGGTTCCTGTGATATCCTCCGCTCGTGATTGCGCGGCGGCATATCTTACATATCGATTTCAAGTATGTCGGCATGTAGTTGAACGCATATAAATTTTGTTCTCTATAATCTGATAATTCTGTTACGCGGACGAGCGCACTTGTCCAATCAAGTCGCACGGAATACGCGGCAAATGGTATAAATACAAAACAGCGCGCTCTCGATATCAACTCGATGTTGACTCGTTTTCAGAAATACTCAACATATAATCTATTGTTAAAAGTGTCTGAAAAGTATCGCACATGAATATCGACGAACGTTTAATCTGATGAGTTTAATAGCGAGCAATATAAAATTAGATAATGCGAATTGACGAGAGATAATTAATATTGCTGGATAATTAATACCTGGTAATATTGCATATCGCGCTGTAACAAAATTCTCACGCGATCCACCAAATTCCCATCCTCCATAATCTCCATTTTTGCAGTCTGTTGAATGAAAAATAAAAGAATTACGCTCGTAACGTACGATTTGAATTATTGCGCGTTATTTTGCAAGTGCGCGACAGCAAATAGGTGCGACTTGTGAATAAGGCTGAAATTAAGAATAATGCTTCATATAAAATGTGCATTTTTTTAATCATAAATTATTGGTGAACGTTAAGTTTGTTTGTATAGAATTTTAATTAAAATATATCGTTGCATTTTTTATATTAAAAATCGGATCAATCGACTAATTAAGTGCACAAAAGAATAAAATTAGATTCTTTCAGATTAGAAATGCATTATTTTATGCTACATTAAAAAGATAAAAATTTTTACAATAAAAAATGTTTATATATAGAACCATTAATCTAATTAACAATAATGCAGAGGCTTATCTACTGTCACGTAATGTTATTTTGCAAATCATTTGTCATTCTTTGTGTTATAAAGCACAAATAAGTAATAATAATAGCGTGTGTCATCACAGAAATATCTCGTTATGGCTGTGCAAATATAACAGAAATATGATCATCTAACATATTGTATTTACTCACATGAAGATCTATATATAGGGTATCAGATAATATCAAATTCTCCTATATTAGTTTTATGTACAAGTTTTGCAAATCAGGCCTTTAATCATTCCCATACATATATTATAGAAAATTTGCGCTATATCATAATTAAATCTCCGTCGATATTAATTTCGAGGAGAAAGACTGTCTATCACAGCTTGCTTCTCTTTGCCACTGTAGGAACACTTGGCAAAGCACACTTGATTCCTTACAATTGCTGGTATCTCATTGTTGAGTAATTCATGTATCGTTTTGCCATCATGCTTATATATCCATTGACCATTCATAAAATCATAACGTTTAGGACCAGATTTTGGAGAGGACAGCCAAATCTGCTTGTTTGGTGTTTGGCGGTTTATAACATAAGTACCATGTGTGTCACCAAACTTGACAGTCAGCACACCGTCCTGCAAAACAATATTTCTCAAATGCAATCACATGTATATCATTCATGTGTCTTTTAATTAGTGCACATACTCCGTAAAACACATCAGCATCTGACAGATGAGCCGCTGCTTCAATCAATTCCTCAAAATACTCAGTTAATGAGTCTAACGTCTCATTACAGATTTTCTCATATTGCACAGAGTCAAGTTCGCTAATGAAATCATACAAACAATAATGTTTTATATTAATAAAATACGTAAATAATTATCAGTTTCAAATATCATAAGTAATGGATAATCACAATTTTGTCGAGTACGGTGAATCAGAGTTCGAACTAAAACTCCGTATGGAAAATCGACACGATTTTCTGTAATTATTCCTTAAAAATCGCGTTAAGTTATGATTGACATAACCTCCAACGTAGCTGCTACATTTATTAAACTGTGATACAAGTCGTCCAGTCAAGAATTTGTCATGTAAGCCACACGATAGTCTTGAGATTATGCCAAATCTTGTTATGACAGTGAACATGATAATTTCCTTGAAGTTTTATCGATTAAACAAATCCTTTAGCTAGAGTGCAACACGAATATCCTCAAGAGTAGTCGCGCTTCTTTCATGCGACTGCTGCATAACGCTGCTTGACACATACTTTCCTATCCTGCAATATGAACTGTAGATACAGATATTTGTTTACTATTATATTATACGGAAATATTTGTAAATATTGTTGAGTTTACTGGAATGCAATAGCATTCATTTAGTCAAAATTTTACTTACCAAACTGTGAGGCAGTAACATTATCGTGTGACGGAATGTTACCGACTGTGGCAGGTCAACGGCAAATTAAAACGAACGACAATAATAAATATTTCCTTATTTAGAGCCGTTGTTCGTTATGATATCCCCATCAATTCTTATAAACGTAAATTTGTAAAATTCTCGGTTTTGCGTTTGAGTTTTATTACATCTCTGCATGAGCGCAATGTACGTTTCGTAAATTAGCAAAATCGCAAATCATGAATATGATAGATTGTATGCGGTACATACATCGCGTTTATTTATAATTTTATTATTGCAATATATCAAGTAATTTCATTTCGTGCAAATTGTATCATTAAAATTCGGCGGGTTAACACGGGAAATAGCTTTGTTCGTGCGACGAAATTTCGTTGCTCGTTTGAATGATCTATCGAATGATTGTTGCAAAATGAGAGCAAACAAGTGACGAGGCAACAACAATCCAGTGCAATCGATGCTTTTATCGGACCACACATTAATATTCATGTGAACGATAAAATAGAATTAATTTTACGTCAAGTGTGAGAATTAGTAATGCACACAAATTAATTTATAATGCAGAATCTAACCGACGTTTTCAATAAATTATCGTCACAGTAATTAATAGCTAAATCTGTTATTATTATTTGTCGTTACATCGAAGAGGAGACATCAAAAATATACTACACTCATCTGCAACGAACTAAAATTCGTTATACGATTATTATACGAATTATATTATCATAAATCTCTATTCTACCGCAAGGATTTGTATACGAACGCGTTTTCATGAAAAACCAACTACAAGCAATGACGAATACTCGAAAATCGAATTGTCAAAGGACACGTAATTTCGTAAAAGGATACGGGATTTCCTTGTACGACAATGCTGAAGAAACTGATATCAGTGAACGCGTGACTAGGTTTATCGAGGGAATCCCTGGGACAAAAAAGTTTACACGACCACAAGGAGTAACGAAAGCGCGAGAAGGGAGGGGCAAAGAAGATATAGAAGGCGAGACGCGATGGTTGCACCGAAAGATCGTTCAATGCACCGTATGCGTGCGCACGTATCAGCTTTTTTCCAAATTCCCCGCGAGCTCGGCGTTCGACACCCCTTTTGTCGCATCCCGTTTGTAACTTGGTCGGAAATTTAGTAACAGATTGCAAACATGTCCGTCTACTGTGCAATATTTCGGCTAATATTTGCATTGGCCTGCATATTCACGAAACCAGTGTTCACCTACGTGCTACCGGATCCAACTTTTGAAGTGTTAATACCCCGAGGTCTTCGAGTTTCCATACCTGGTGGGTTTCAAGTGAGGATTAGCGCATGATGCATTCTGGAGAGAAAGGATGTGATCAAGAAATCTTATCGGGCGGATCGTCGTAAAAGTATCCCTGAAATTGCAGAACAGTCCGTCGCTTCGGTGACTCTGTAACGCAACAAGTTCACCTGCATTGGCGATCTTGCGAATGTAATCTCAACTCACACAATTTTCTTCGGCAAACAGTGACGCTCTTGACGTGTGACGTTCTTACCTTCGAGAGTCTCCTAGTTCATCTCATTTTAATACTTGATAAGTTGTTGATTTGTGACTCGGCATATAATGAACAAGCGATGAATGTTTAATGGCATGCCTCTGGGATTCCCACGACCCGCCGCTGCTCATCATTTATATTCCAAGACGTATACGGTTGCTTGCGGTTTCTCCGCGAACGACTCTTATCGTAATAGCGTTAAACGTGCTATTATCAAACAAGCTGTCGAAAGATCAATGATTATGCGACCTTTGACTTTTAAGTTTCTTTTGAATCACAAGAAGATTCAAAGTGCTTCGGTATTTCGCGATTTGTAATCATGATAATACGCCACAATTTTCCAATATGTGATTACATTTCTCTGAAAGAATCAACAATATAGGTCATTAACGTTGGCTGATTGAAAATAATTCTTGTACCTAAGAATATTAGCTTGATGCCAAAGACCATGCCATTTGTCTATCACATTTTTTGTGAAAAAATTTGGGGGACTTTAAAAGGAGAATAGAAAATTCTCGTTGGACATCTAAAAACAAACAGAAAGATATTGAGTCTCGATGTTGCTGATTTTATCTATAAAAATAATTAATCCTCTGAAATCGGATAATTTCATTTTCTATCTTATTTGACAAACACGACAAACATTTTTTTTGCATCGATCTGCCAAATAAATAATATTGAGAAATGCTAATTCGAAGAACTTATGTTCTGCTTAGGCGTATTTAATTGCACTCGCATATTTATCAGATTTATATATTATAATGTATAAAGCTTTCATATATGTACGATAATTGCATTATGCATTGCAGACGCACCGGGCTTACGTATATTTGGTTTTCACGCCAACATCAACAAGGAGATTCGTTCTACGGAGTTCGGCGACATAGCCGGTGACGTTTTTCTGGCGCGAAACGACCGCTGGACTTTCCAGAATTCTGCAGCGAGGATATCAAATGGAGATGTAATTAATTATTGGATTTATGCGCAAGTGAACGGGGAGAACTACAAGAAGGAAGACCAGACGTGGACGTACAACCGTAAGATCATCTGCGTAACCTTTCACTCGCGAGTAAAATCAACAATGGTACAATACGATAATGATAACGTTGAATTAATAACAGAGCGTGCCAACCAGGAGTCCATGTCAAACATTGAAAGTCACTTGGCGGCAAATCAAATGTCAACCGATGGTCAATTGATATTTGAAGATAATTTCGATACCTTCAACGAATCATTGTGGAGTCGCGAGTTAAAAATGCCATTAAGTCCGGTGAGTATCTCGAGATCATCTTCCGTCTCGCAGGAGCGTCAGGATAAAACATTCAAACGTAATACATCCAGTTGATGAAACTTTCTCCTTAAATAAAAATCATTCGTTTTCTCCCCCGATCAGGACTATGAGTTCTGCGTGTATCACAACCAAAATCATCAAATGCTCGTGCAAATCAACGACGGTCAACTTCTCTTAACGCCCATTATACTGGAGGATTATTACGGCGAGAATGCGACCGCCTACGGGAAATTGCAACTTAACGGGTAACGCAATCATTTACACACCGGATAATGAGATAAATTTAATAGTATAATTGTAACTTGCGTAAGCAGCCTTCTACTCTATTCTGTTCTATTCTATCTTGAGATGTCCTTCGGCTCGGTGCTAAATAAAATTCATCACATGTCTCATCGATAAACGATCTCCTTCAGGTGTACCAGCAACGTTCCCATGGAATGCTCGCGGCGAGCGGTATCCTTCAGCATCCTGCCGCCCGTAATATCCGTGCGTCTCACTACGAGGCATTTCTTTAGCTTCCGATATGGAAAAATCGAAATACGCGCCAAGTTTCCACAGGGCGACTGGTTGTACCCAGGTGATTACGCACGATTTACCATCTACCGCGAACAAAATGCAGGAGGGAAACTCGACGATGCGAGAATTAATTTTTCTTCGTATAAAATCTCACCGCAGAGATGTGGCTCGAGCCGAAATATATGACGTATGGACCGAACTACGCAAGCGGCCGTGTTCTTCTGGGTCAGACGCGCGGTAACGAGAACCTGGTGAACGCCACGGATCCCTCGATAATTTACGACAGCAGACGACTAGACTTTGGCGTGAGAATGGGCATGTCGCCGAGCATCCAGGAAAGACTCGTCTCGAAGATCCTCGAGTCCGGACCAAAATGGACGCAGAATTTCCACGTATACACGACTGTCTGGAACAACAATGGATTCAGGTTTCTGGTGGACGGCGAAGAAATTGGCCATGTAGGACCTAGCCTGCTAGGATGGGTGCCGGGTGCTTACAACGGCAAAAAAAGAACTGCCCCGTTCGATCAAGAGGTAAAGCGCGTCAGTGTCTGATAGGAAAAAACCGGCAAGAATGAAAGTCGTCTTTTTACTTAATATTATTTGTATATTGGCGAGGAAATTCAAATGATGTGTAAAAAATACAAAGACTGCTTACTCATGACATTCGAATCCGGTGTCGGTGAAGTTAGAAGTGTCAGCCGGACGAGGAATGCTTCCTTGTTTCAATTAGACGTAATTTGTTCATTGAACAGTTCTACATCACTCTGGGCGTCGGGGCGGGCGGGGTGCGGGTGTTCCCGGACGGTACGAAGAGTGCAGAATATCCAAAGCCATGGAGCAACAAGAACCCTAAGGTAACAGACCTTTCAATGTATCGTCGTTCAAATTTTCGCCTTCGAGTACAAACACTCCCTCCGAATTTCCCCTTTCACTCTTCGAATACCTATGTGAGATCTTGTGGTTCTCCTGCTGCAGGCAATGCTGCATTTTTGGAACGCCCGGAATCAGTGGCTGCCGAGTTGGACGCGGGACGGCGGCAAGAAGATTAGCTTTGCGATAGATTACATCAGGGTGTGGTCCTTCTGAACGGTTCTACGTTGATGTTCACCATTCACTCTTTGCTTTTTTTTTTTCTTGTCATTCATATCACCGCCTTTTTATTGTTATTTTTATAACGGTAGGGTTCCCTTTCGCATGACGGCTACGCTATTCGACGCCCGCCGTCGATATAAGACAAGACGAGGTCTCGAGAAAAAAAGAATCAACGAGAGAGTCATCTTCTCGGACGATGGCAGAAGATTACAGCGTTGCTCGCAATTGGTTATGGCGCCCTCAACGAGATCGCCGGCGAGAAGTACCTTGTTTTATCAGCGTAACGCAATCGAAGAGTTTCGTAATTGGACTGCTGCCTTCTGTAAAAGGGCGAGCGGTGCTTCGCAAAATTGGAAAGAAATTCAGGATCGCCCAGAGCTGGTTCTACCTTTAATGCCTCGAGTCGTTAGCCGTGCAGACGATCATCCTGCGATAATGCGACTTTCGCAGTTTCACACACAGGGGCAACGCTGCCAAGCGGCTCCTTTTTATATCCTTTACACCACGACGGCGATAATAAAAGAAATAAGCGTAGCATAGCTAGCATCTCGAATTCAGCGCGGAGAGCGAGGTGACTCGCATACCTCGCGGCTAAGAAACATCGTATATTAGATTTGATGGATTGCGGGTAGGAGTCGGCAGTGCCAAGGACACACCGTGATCGGTCTCACGGTTTCACTCGGAAGTTCCGTTCTCTTTGTGTCGCAGGAGCGTCGTCCGGACCATGTCGGAGCGAACAATTCGGCCGCGAGCATCGGCCAAGTACCGCGAGGATCTCGCGCGTTCTCTCGGCCTCGTTGACACGCGCGCGAGGATTGTTGTTTCTAAAGAAGCGCGCTAGAGGAAAGCAGCCTGCGAAAAAATGATTAAAGTGTAACGCCGGCTACGACTTTCGACCTGGTCCATCTTTCAAACCGGTTTACCTCGGTTTCCAACATTGGCAACAAGAAAAAAGGGTCCACGAGCAGTTTCTTCCGTCTGCCTCTTCACGGTATCGCGCTTAAAACGCCGGCCGCCGGAGCCAATTAATTTAACATCCACATTAGCGCGCGCGCGCGCGCGCGCACATGTGCTGCAACACGGTCGTGGCGCGCGATCCCGAACAAAAATCGCACGACCTCAGGTTCGGCTTCGACGACGACGGCTCGTCGTCCGGTTTCGTTTGCTCCCTCTTTCACGCGGCGAGAGACTTTTTCCCCGCCGTCGACAGTCGGCCGATAGCTCGCGCGGTAGCCACCACGATTTTCTCCCATTGTTCACCGACAATTCAAGTCGCCTTCGACACGTCGACGTGAGTCGGTTCGCCGGATGTGAATTTCGTCTTTACCGCTCATCACGCCTCGACAGTCGTCCGCACGTTCGCGAGATCTGCCAGCGCGGACGATGACGCTAGAAAAATTCATTGTTGCTTCGATTATTCTTGTTTGGGCCGGTGATTCTTTGGCGGGTCATCACCGTTCAAGGCGATCGAGTAAGTGATTCTTCGAATATTAGCTTTAGAGTCGCCCTGAGCGAACGTCATGTCCCGACTGAGTTAAAAATTGCGAAATAAGGACATTCTCGTAAAATAATAAATAATTAAATAATTTACAAAATTGCCCGACTACAGGCGAATGTACGAGTGCGAAATTCTGAAAAGCATTTTCAACCGATCGAAAGTTTTCTTTCGATCACGTACAAAATGTCAGAAAGATTTATGTATTCATGTAATATGAGAATTGGAGAAAAAAATACCTAAAGAGATATCTGCAAGATTAATTAAAATATCTTTCGAGTGGCCTTACGACATCCTTCAAATATGTAGTCTGGCTTGATGTGTGCGCATAAGTGACAAATCGAAATTTATTATCCAACGAACAGCAATTTTAACAAGAACTACTTAATACATTTGTTGCGCGCGTGTTGGAGTCTTTAATTATAAGTCTGTTATTATCCGCAACGTATATCAGTTTCTTCATCTTGCGCATACGCGACTAAATAGAGAAACATGACTGCGGAGGACGTGCTTCTCGTTAACACATGATGGATTGGAACCGGCTTCGCGTATACACTTACATAAGAAATGAATAATTGAATATTGCAAATTTTCAGGTGAGGATCTGATTACAGCCAATGAGTACATACTGCACAGGTGTACAGCTACTGCGGAATTAATCAGAAGGCATAGGAACGAAGGAGTGATCAATATTAACTCACGCAAAGCCGAAGTGGGCCTGCCTCACCCGCAGATACAACGAAGAAATTATGATTCTACGGCAACGATTCTCCCGACTAATGTCTCTCGACTGGAAACTCCCAGGCAAACTTCCAGCAGCGCGCATCGACATACGGCTCATATGAGAAGGCGCGTTAACGCGCACGCACGTCGTATCGTGGCCAAGCATTTGGCAGATACGCCTCTCCGAACTCTACACATCGACGCACCGCATGACAAACCGTCGGTCTTCAAGAAGAAGAGTCCGTTGCCGGAACTAGAGCACAACACGTTCGGCAGAAATATCGATTCGTCGCAGAATGTGATAATCATCAAACCGATCACTTAACGTCCTTCTAGAGGCGCACGGATTTACGCTGGCGTTCCGATTTTCGCAAATTAGCAGCTTTACGACAACTAATCTTGTAATCTTCAATTTCGTATGCACCGTCATTCATCTAAGAAGAAAAATATAATTTTGAAATTTGTAACCAATTTTCTACCATAGCAGTGTCGAGATAGAGTCTTTGTGTCGTTATTGGTATTGAGAGACAAAACATATAAGTTTATAAAGTTGTTGATGCGACTAATTTTGAAAGTTGCTCGAAGCATTGTTTTGGATAAACAAAGTTGAAATGTATTTTTTGTAAAATTTATATCAAGAAACTATCTACACACAATATAAGCGGTATACCGTAAACAATTGCTCACAATTACTAGTATTATGTTTGAGACATTGCAGCTATGCTCTCTGGTAACTTTTCCAATTCAATCTGCAAACAGAAATTCTTACGTGAGCTAAACAAAAATTACATGTGTATATGTATATGTATATATATCCTTTTATATTGTAAAAAACAGACCTTGGTTACTTTCATCGCCACTCCTTCTGGCAAATTCCTCTGAATATACTCTAGAAAAGTATCTGCTGTGGAGCCAGTTAATTTTACAAAATCCAGATAACGGTAGTAAGTTCTAATTTCATATTGAACTCGATGTTTCTTGTGAACATGAGCTGATTTTAATACCGTCCACCGTTCATGAATAGCCTTATATGGTGCCATACTACAAATATACAAATATATTTCAGCATATTATCCACCAGTTGTAAGACGAACCAATAAATTCACATAATTGATTAACTAACTTCCTAGCTACATTAATCTTTAAGTGATTTGCAGCCGTTACTGCAAATACTCCGTAACTCTTTAACACAGCTGGGTCGTTTCCCCTGACCTCAACCTCAATCTTCTTGTACAATTTATCTGGCGTACCCTAAAGACAATTCATTTTTTATAATAAATAGATTCAAATAAGTTATAATTTTAAAATGACAACAGATCTTTCAAGGGTTTACCGTCTTCGTCGAAAGTAAGGACGACTTTTCTTCAACAGAATCTTGTTGCTGCTCATTTTGCCGTCGTATTGTTGTTGAAAATGGTAATGTGTTGCTTTGCAGAAATTTACGCGTGAGAACACCAGCGTGTCCTGAATCATGTTGGACACCAGCTATATTTCTCAGGAGAAACGTTACCTGAGAAAATACAAGCGTGGTTAGTGTGATTTAACCTCAATCCATTCACATCATCACATTACTTGTATCAAACTACCTTTCGCAGCAACATTTGTTGTCGTTATCGATGCTTCGGCAAACCAAACCCCAAATCCTGTCGTTCCAACTTTTACACCGACTTATTACTTTCGTGACTTACTTAACGTAAACATATCCATTCACTGCACAGACAATTCACATGCCGACATAACCGCAGCTAGAATCGTACAACAGTGGTATGTAGTGCGCTGTGACGTCACTGCACGAGATTATGCATTGACAAAATATTTCAGACGTTGTAACGCCAAACGTAACGATTAAAATAATTTCTAACTTATAATCGAGTTGATACAATTTATTTCATTGGCAACAAACTAGAACTATCAGTATTATTTCATGGCACAAAGGTAATAGTGCTGTAGATATTTGCGTAATATTACATCTGACTTATGATTTTATAAAGTAACATCTGGTCTTTATGAACAGGACAGTTTCGTCCGACAACAATACATTTTCTTTCCAACGAAGAACATCAATCGAGATGTAAATGTCAACTTAGACTTGCCAATTGGATACAGGTATCCGCAGATAGAACTGTATAATTTTTCATTTCTTATAAATTATTTATAAGCTGTTTCTTATAAATTATTTATAAGATATAATCATTTACTATAAATTACAAAGCACATATTTAATATATAAATACCTGTCTTCGTAAATATGTTTTATTCTTCTTCGAATCATATCTCGATATTTCGAATATAAAATTTATGGCTTACATAGGCACAAACTAATAATGCATAACCGTATTTTATTATATGTATATTTGATTTGATGTAATAACGCATTCACCTTTGTAAAAATGGGTGTGATTTTCCATACATTTTATAGAGATTAATATATATGAGAAACATACATGAGAAACGTGTCGCTGAAATAGATTCATTATGTAATACACTTAACACATCAAGTATCATCCAATGAGTGACAACGACATTCGTCACTTCTTTCCATGTGACAATTTCTTATCAAAATGAGAATAATTTCATTAATTCCATCTAATTCAATTTCAATTAATTTTATTTTTCCTTTCGCAAAGTTTAATTAAGCAATTTTGAACTCGTGCAAACTCGTTTGCAATTCGTGCGATTGGCAACATATTACATAATCTGACTCTGTGCACAATTAAAAAATTCGATTCGAAGTTTCCATTCGAATTCAACATGGCGCTTAATGTGTTAAACTGAACTATTGTGCCATTGGATATCATTGTATATCGTAACATATTGCACCGTTGTGATGAACATAAAAAACAAGTACAAATTAAGGTAAAAATATCTTCAGTAATCTTTTACGAAACTTCGAATTATACAGGTGCTCCAGCGATCAGTTTTAATTTGAGTAATCCTCAACTCAACTCGTGTTTATTGTGATCTGTAATGCATTTCATTCAGAAGAGAACTGACGGCTTTGCCACACATAATGAAGCATTGACGTGATAACAAACTATTAGGTAATTGAAGTGTATACATCAAAATATCTGATCTAATGTCTCGTCTAACGTCGTTCCTTGAATGTAGTGGTGTTGAAGGAGCGTTGCGATTGAAAGTTATAGTTTGCTGATGATTGCTGCCACATTCCGGTGTTGGCGCCTCCTCCTCCTTGCCAATTAGTCGATGATGCTTTCTTATTCGTCTCATTTGGAGCTAACCAGCGCGAATCATTCATACTCATGTTACTGCTGCTTTGACACGGTTGCTTCGCTGGAAAAGCTTGAGACTTGTTCTGCCAATTGTCTTTGGCCTTTAACCATGGCTCTCTTTTGTCGGACGGCCAAGTGGTCGTCACCACAATCTGATTGTCAATGTTCAGCCATCTTTCTTTCAGGCCGACATTACCCCCGACATCGTCGCCCCAAGGATCTCGCGCGTCTTCCGGCAAGTCGTTCCAGTCATCCTTGTCTGCTTGGTTCCAGGAGTCATTGGACTGCGGCTGCTCCTCGCGGCCGCTCCAACGCGGCATATCCGTGTCCGTCCAAGTCTCCTTGCGACTGCTCTCCTTCTCTATGTTATCCCAATCATCGCCGCTGTTCCCCGATCTGGACGGGCCAGACCATCTACTATTGTTTAAATTCTGACTCCATGACTCTTTCACATCGGACTTCGCGAGAGGTTGCGTAGAACTCCAAGAGTCCGCGTGAGAATCTCTCATGTCCCAAGATCTCTCTTGTTGCTGGGTCTGCGATTTGTGATATCTATTATTGTCAGAGAGAGGCTGCCAGTTTCCGCTGGTCGCCGTCTGCCTCTTATCCAGCCAGATATTCTCCGATGCTCTCTCGTTAATGGAACGCTGCCATATGCCTTGCTCGATAGCGCCACGATTCGGTATGTCCCATTCGTCCGCGAATCTATTTTGCGGTGGGCTCTGCCGCCTCGGCGGGGACTGCTGTCGCTTTGGAGGCGACGAGAACTCCTGTCCGGATGGCATTCGATGCGGCGAGGGATGCCTCACGGGCGACTGATTTCTCGGTGACATCATGCCTCTTGATCTCGACGGGGATATCATTCTGTCAGCTGGCGACATGGACCGCCTTTTCGGAGACATTTGCCGTCTCGTCGGCGACATCGGCCTGTGTCTCACGGGAGACGCCGGCCTCCTCATCATAGACACCTGTCTCGTCGACGAGCTGAACATCCTCATAGGAGACATCTGCCGTCTCGGTGGAGACAGACTGGGCTGTCGCCATGACATTTGCTGCGTCGCAGACACCGGCCGATCCATAGGAGACACGTGTCGCCTTGGCGGTGACATTTCGCGTCTACCGCCGGATGATGTAGACAACATCGGCCGTCTCTGAGGCGAATAATCGCGGTGCATTTGAGAATTGCGCCCTTGATACGAAGATGATGACGGCGACGAGACCGGCCTGTCTGAAGAGAGATGTCTCCTAGTCGGCGAGCTCGCACGTCTCGGCGGCGACCGCTTTGGCGACAATCTCCTCGGCGATGATATTCGATGTTTAAACGGCGAATTTTGCTTTCTCATCGGAGACGTAGGTTTCCTCGTGGTTTCCACGTCACTCCAGCGGCTTCTGTTGAAAGCTTTGTTCCTGTTCCAAGAGTTACCTTGGTTCTGTTGTTTGTTTTTGTTGGCAAATCTCTGATAGACTGTTACTTTTTCGTTCGACCTCACTTCGACAGGTAAGGTCGTATCTGGTTCTGCCGGTGCTAAGTTATGATATTTCTTATATATCGTCGGCTTCACGTCGGTCTCCATGTACTCCTTGTTCGCGGTTGTTATAAGAATATCTTGGGCATGAGTCTCCTGCACGAATCGACCCTTCAAGAGCGGATCATCGTCGAGCTCTTTCTTCACCTGAATCGCATCTTGAGCGCTCTCAGGTGGCGCGATGCGATCCCACACTGAGCGTGGCAACTGATTCTGCAGCTTGTTGGTCTGCTCGAGGACCATAGTCAGTACATTTTGCAATTCCTTCGCGGTGGTCGCGTCGACCGTAGGCGAAGGACCGCTCAGCTTCTCTTTGGCCGCTTCGAGAATCTCTCGGCTTTCGTTCACCTTCTGCACCAAGTCTGCGTCAATTCTGTTGCTCGACAATTTTGTGCGCAGGTCTATCTGATCTTTATTGGTTGCTGTCTTTTTCTCGAACAGAGGATTGATGCGAAGCGTTGATTTATCGTGCCAATTCTTTTTCTTGGCTGCAGCATCTGGTCAATGAGAAAAATCGCAATCAGGCACATTATGCGCAACGAGAGACATCCGTGCATTTCATGCACGGCAAATTTATTTAGATTTATACATCATTCAACTTACCATGTTGCTTCCACGACTTGTTAAATACCGGCTTGTCGAATTTCTTCGTCTTTTTAGGTATCTCGATTATCTCGGGCGATTCATTCTCGCGTTTCAGTCTGATTTTACCTTTCGACGGTGAGCTCAAGTCGCTCTTCACCGGGCTCGTCTTTCTCGCGAGCTTCGACTTTTTTGTCACGTCGACGTTCGCTAATGGATTCTTTTTCAACTGCGTCTCGGCGTTATCAACGCCGCTGTTATTGATCTCTTTCTCTAACGCCCTGGTGTTCTCCAAGGATTTGCTCTCTTCTTCCAGTATCTTGAGGAACCACGGCTGCGTGAGTCTATGCATAAGTCTGTGTTCCATTAGAATAACTGTCTCGAAGTGAGGCCCGATCGGCAGGGTATCGACAACGCATGCCCGGATCGGCATGAACGGATGACCGAGGCCATCCTCGATGGGCCGTGCGAGTTCTAACACCGCACGAACCGATTGTTTCGTCAACGTGGTGACCATTACGATACGCCGCAGGGACGTGAGTTTTCTTAAGCATGTCATTACTTCAACGGCTAAAAGATATCATAACTTTAGATCTTGATTACCGGGAGAGACACAGAGTCGCGACCGGGGCGCGCTACTCAATGCCAACGTTACCGATTCTCTCTCAACTCACCGCGACAAAATTAGCAATATTAACGACTAACTAGGATCGATGTTGCATACCTCTGCCCATATTGGTGTTCGCGTTGACTATGGCATATGTCACGCGATTTTTCACGGCGGCACTTATTTTATTCACCACGTCGGCCGGAGAGCCCATCACGAAAGACACATTTGTAATGTTATTCAAGTCACACGTCATTTCGGCTTCTTCGATTTCCGATGGTGAATCAACCCCTATCACTTCCAGACATTTCTGTTACAATGCAATATAGATATCGGTACATTAATCGTCTCGTTTAATTCGCTCGGTGTCGCGCATTTTGCGTGTGCGTACCACGACCCACAACGGGACGCATAACACGTCGGACATTGTGTCGTGCGGTTCGCCCAATAAGAGAGATTCGCTTATACGTTACGTGCGTGCGTACTCCCGCGTGCGTGAGTTGCGTATGTACTTACAGATGCCATCATAAGTCCGATCACGCCGATGCCACAACCGATTTCGAGCACCGTCACTTTCGGCGTAGGTTTAAGCATGTCCATGACTGCTTTGGCTACGTTCAACGCGCCGGCAGCGTTCGACCAAAAGTTGGTCTTTGGCGAGAGCTGCACTTTCAGGCTGCCGACGACTTCGTCTAGAGCTTCCGCTCCCACTAAGAACGTGGTGTTTGTAATAATTTTGTTATTAGCGCATCTGAAACGAATGTAATGAGATTGCAGATTTCCGTCACTTGTGAACCTCGAGTTTTTTCTCTGCCTTGTGTGTCGTGCTCTTACTTGTTCATCGATTTGCAATACAGAGACTTGACATTGCAATCTTTACCCGGGCCGGACTCGTATATCTGTTTCAGACGGTCCATAGTGTTGCGGCTGATGTTCTTTCCAGTTGCGAAAAGCATGAGCTCGTCCATGCTATTGCAACGCACTAACAGCCACATCCACTTTTGCTTTTGCACCTCGTTTTCTTTCGCATCGGCATCCGTAGATGTGTCGTTCGATGGACTTTCATCGGACGCCGCCGCCGCTTTGTCTTGCGACGGTGATATCGTTGTTTGAAGAAAATTTTCAAATATCTACACGCCAATAACGATCGATATTACGGCAAATATGCAATTTCCTTTACAACTAACTGATATCGTGCTTTTCCCGCGCGTCAAGTGATTTGTGATTTGACCTACGTACGACCTACGTATGTCTCAAAGAAGTATCCGCAAGTACCAAGATCAGACACAACTCGCAAAAGCATGATATCAGTTATTGTAATTTATCGCTGTTACGCGGCCAGAGTTTGTGTTATGTAGCACTTATTTCATTATTTTTTTTTTTATGTCACCGACTTATTTTATAACATTGTTTTTTAGCACTCAGACAAACTTGCGCATTCGCATACAAGTTCATCCATGTGGGATTAGTTTACGGTCGAATGTGTGCATTCTACGTCGTCAAGTATTAAAAATCTGTGAACATATCTCTCTCTCAGGAGTTTCTCATTGTTTTGTACAGTTACGCATTGTACTCTGATGTTATAGCTGTCTGTATTGTTCCATAGGCTTAATTTCAGCCATACTTTTCAAGTTGCACATGCATCATTTGTGTGATAAATTTTTTCTTTTTCTTTCTTTTTTTTTTTTTTTTTTATCAACTGCACTTGCAAAGTATTGGACATTTGTGTCATGTTACTGATAATCTTTAACATTAATATGCATCATATCTATAGTCACTCTTTATCTTCATTCTTTCAGTCACTCTTCTTTTATTCTTCTCGAATAAAATATATTCATGCCTGTTTGAGGCACAGCATAGCATACATATCAGAAGATATCTGATGAGATATTGTTTAACTTTTGTGTCGATAAAAAAGTCGTGTAAATAAATACACATTGAACATCTTTTCAAGATTCTTTCTTCTTTCGCGTGTTTTGAAGATAACATTTTCATATGTTATATAAAAAATGTTGCCCATCTTCCGTGATGAAATATGAAGACATATCGATGTGTTGTCATCATTTTGCAATCTCACGGTATTGGCAACATTTTGATAAGTGCCAAAAAAATTATTATTGCGCACACAATAGTATAAAAATTATATTTTCAAAGATTTCTGATTTTGCTCATACTTGTTGCTTATTATATGCTCATATTATATATAATTTCATGAGCTTGATCATTTTGATATGACATCTTGTGAGTGACTGATGAAATTGCACAATATTTTCCACTTCTTTATATATTTTTATATTTGTATATATAAATAAAAAGAGTTATTTTATACTTTGTAGAAACTCGCACATGCAAATACTGCTTATAATTATGCAGATTTGATTCATTCCTTATAAGGTAGTAGATGTTCACAAACATACACGTACGTTTCAAAAACTAATCTTACACTGAATCATTTTTATACGTAGGAAAAAATATATATCTACAAAAAAGTCTTTGCCGCCTCTTTGGCAAAAAGAAAAATAGAATTAACTTTTCTTAAATATAAGTGATATACCTTGACAGCTCTTAACACAAACGATGGAAATTCAGACATATTATTGGTATTAACACCCCACGCCGACGTTGGTTCAAGGCACCAGACTGGTTTGTAACTTTTGACAAAAGATTCCGACTTATCTTCTTCTTTCACGGTTGTCTGTATATCTTTCAGGATACCTAAACAGATGCCATATCAAATATATATTTACTATGCCATGAATATTAAATATAACATTCTTTCCATATTCATATTCTTTCTCTAGTAAAAAAGACAAAGAACATCATAGTAAGTGACATGTATAATACATGCGTACCAAGGAGTCTAAACAAATCTAAACAACATTCAACATGAGCGAGTATTTCTGAAATGTTAACTGTATCCTTCTATACTCACATTCAAACTTCCACCGATTCGTATGTGGTTTGTTTAATGAACAATGTCGAATCGGATCAAGTTTGCATATAGGTGAACCTTCTTTCTTCTCTATTCTCTCTAACCATTTCTCATAATGAGGGTAAGAAATTCCTAAAACTCGAGCTAATTTCGAAAGTCTTTCTCTAACAAGCGTTTCTTTCTCTGCGATCTAGAGTTTTAATTCAATAATTATAATATTAAGTGTATATTCTTTAAGTAATTTCCAGTATTGTGATTTAATCAAACGATAAAGTATAATAAAAAAGAAAATCTTCAAAACCACTACCTTTTCTTTATACCAACTTTCTTCTATCTCTCCTCTCACTTCTTCAATCAATGTTATTTCATCCTGTTGCATCTGTTCTTCTTCCTCACTTTTAGAAGTTTCAGAAGGATCAATATGCTCCATAGCTTTATCCATACAAAATGTTTCAGGATCCAATTCGATATTTTCTATTACATCCAAGTGATGCATTACATCTTCATCTGTTACTTCTTTCTGCACATCCATTGGTTCTAATTTGACAGTAGCAATAAGGTCAATAGGTTCATTTGTAGAATAATTTTCTGATTGTTGATCACATTCTACTTGCATTGGAAGTATTTTATCTGTATCTTCAGTATGAGAAGTTGTGTCATCTATAAATATAACATATATTCTGTGTCGTAAACATACACAAGAAAAGCAATCGACAAATAGCTTCATTTTGATGCTAAAAAATTCATTTTATCCAACAATTTTTACTTTAATTATGCTGGATATGAAAATAAAATTGCTTCGTGTATGTATTTATTAGACTTATTTACACGATCTTATATTCTTATGTTATATAAATTATTCTAAAACATCTTGGATAACACCGATTCTTCAACTTCAATCGCTTATAACTTACAGAATCGCTAATAGGAACGGAATTTAATCAATTTTGACACCGTAACATCAAACTACAAGAATATGGGGTAAAAAGATACAAGTTGCTGTTTAGAAAATTCGACACAATTGGAGTTAGCATCTACATCCAAAGTTATTCCCCAATTTTCACTGGGAATATTTTTTCAAACATAAGGTCTCTACAACTATCGTGTAATGTTAAATTCTCTGTCCTATATGCATGTATAAATTACAAATCGCAAATATTCTGCACGCAAAGCTTCAAAATAAAGTTCTACATTATACCAGTGGTCTTGGGATTTGCTTCGGTGGTGTCCATTTGCTCTACAGCATTGTCTGATTCTTGTGCAATACTTTCAAACTCTACAGCATTGTCTGATTCTTGTACGATACTTTCAGACTCTACAGCATTGTTTGATTCTTGTACAATACTTTCAGACTCTACAGCATTGTCTGCTGATTCTTGTACAATACTTTCAGACTCTACAGCATTGTCTGCTGATTCTTGTACAATACCTTCAGACTCTACAGCATTGTCTGATTCTTGTGCAATATTTTCAGACTTTACAGCACTGTCTGATTCTTGTGCAATACTTTCAGACTCTTTCATGGTGCTTGTTGACTGTTCAGTGATACTTTCATCCTGTTCCATGATATTATCCGACTCTTGTGGGGTATTGTCTGATTGTTGCACGGCATCCTCCGACTTGTCACAATTCATAGCCTCCATTTGAGAAGCTCGATTATAGATACGCAACTGTCGATTGTTCAACGAGCCTGTTTTACGTGAAAATAATGAAGCTGATCAAAATGACAAGAGCGAGAGAACGGCCCATTGGCCGTGTTATCGACAATTACATGACGTAATGCAATGACTGAGCAAGAGAAATTGTGAGAAACGCTCTCGATCGTATGTGCTGAATCGGCACGCCGTTTCAACAATTCGATTTATGATCGACTCGCAACATTTGAGGTTTCTATTGTTTGCTTCCTCGCTGAGAATAATGCGATTTCGCGACTCTTACCATGTGTCAAATATTACGCACTGCAAATTCAGGCGCTACGGTTCCATTCAGCTGAACGCCGCGATCTCTCGCTTCAGCTTTCACTTTTTCGCAACGTTTCCCTTGTGTCCTCCGATCGACCGATCGAACATGTGAAATATTAACGTTACGGAAATAACACGATGTACGACGTGCACGCCGACAGATCGTCGCGACGAAAAACGAAGACTGACAAATGCTTTTCTCAATATTCTACTCGAAGTACGAGCGCATGCCACATCAACGAAGTGTATTTTATCTTCGATAGAACAGTTCTACGTCTAGTTGGCTGCGCGATACCAAGAGCGGGTAACGTCTGATGCTTTGAAATTCTTTAGCAAATGGAGGCAAAAACCGTCCATAATTCGTTGTTTAGTCGCGTCATTGAAAAGTGAATACGATTTGTTTTCACTGATTTATTTAAATTTAAAGCGAAAATAACACTTTGATTTTAATTACTTATGGCAGATGAAAAAGTTGATGCACGATGTTCAATGTGTAATAAATAAAAAGCTTAAAGTTCTCTCTTTAAGACTTGAGTATTTATCATATTTTTTTATAAAAATTAATCTTTATGATAAAAATTAAACCGAAAGATAAGGCGAAGTATTGAATAGTCACCATTTTTTCTTATTTAACTCAATATCTCATAGCAGTAAATAAAAAAATAATGTTATTACTTTAATATTCTTAAGAAAGTAGAAATTTCAAGTTTTTAAACATTTTTCGAACCATTCCTCTATCATCATTTCTATCGAAATTACAGCTTATTAAATTTTATCCATTTTTCAATATAAGAGATTAATACGTCTAATCAGTCTTTGAATCGTATCACTTAAGAAGATAGAAAGAGGCATGTCTGATTCTCTATTTAGTCGCGCTACGATTACAAGTACAGTAGCGACTCGTAGCAGAGATTTTGGAACTAATTTTCAAAAATAATGGGTCTAAGAAAACGCACTTTTAATTAGACCCCTTATTTTTCAACATATAATGGAGGTCGGTAAAATGTGATTTGAATCTTGGCTAAATTCATTCCTTTATAAATAACGGGTTTAACGAGAGTATTTTTATTAGACCTGTTATTCGCACAAAGTGAGAATTTAGTCAAGATTCAAACCACAATTTACCGACTCCCATTATATTGGAAAAATAAGGGGTCTAATAAAAATACGCATTTTCTTAGAGCCGTTATTTTTTAAAATTAGTTCCAAAGTTTCCGCTACGAGTCGCTATTGTACTTGTCGAGGAATTGAACTCGCAATTTAAGAAAACAAAACGAGCGAGGTTCAATATAGATAAAATAGGCTAAGTTTCTGTTATCCAACATCGTTTGTATATTTTTATTCAATGAAAAGAAAAATTGAGCTCGTAGTACGACTAAACAGAGGATCAAACAGATGCCTCTTCTATTTTTTAAGTAATACGGATTCTGGCTGATCAGACATATTACTCTTTTATATCGAAACATAGATAAAATTCAATAGGCTGTAATTTAGGTAAAAATGATGATAGAAGAATGGTTCGAAAAGTATTTTAAAGCTTGAAGTTTCTACCACGTTAAGTTCTAAGTTTTAGCCACGTTAAATTTAATAACGTTAATAAAGTTAATAATATTTACTAAGAATAAATATCGACTCAAGTGAGAAATGTGTGGCGACGGTACATTATTCAATTTCATCCTTCAGTTCGAGTTTAATATTGATAATAAATTTTTAGCAAAAATATGAAACATATAATTTAAATATAATATTTTAAACTTTAAATTTATTGCTTAGCGGATATTGTACTTTGATTTGTTAATCTAATAATATATATATATGTTGCAAGTGATTACATTCGGAAGGATGCTTTTGTTTCGACATTAAACAACTAGACGAAAAAAAAATTGCACCGCAGTTTGCGGTACGCAGATTAAAGAAGAACATTCAAACTTTTAAACGGTATAAATCTTAATTGCCTATAATTTGTTGTTTACTTGAAGCAACTCCACAAACTTCATGAAAATGATGTTTACCTTCAACAAACTTTGATTTATTTCCGCGTATTATCGTAAGAAAAATCGTAAAAATAAGCAAATATAATATTTAAACATATACCTGAGAACTAAATACTTTAATCTCTCTCTCCCTCTCTCTCTCTCTCTCTCTCTCTCTCTCTCTTCACACGAGTTTTAACATTAAACAAATACTTACATAAAAATATGATATATTTTATTTTTAGCCGAGCAACCTTAAGTTTTTTATTTATTGTTTAAGCAAAGTCGCATACTGATTCATTCAACATTAATGAGCGATCAAAGGCGATGCTTTGCGCTTCGACATCAAACAACTCGATTGACAAAATCGTGTTAAAATCCGCGGCTGTGCAAAGTAAAAAAAAATTCTACGTCTTCAAATAATACGAATCCGACTCGACGGTAATTCTTTCCCAACTACACGGTGCAACTTAATAGACTTCGAGTAATATTTTACGCGGATCTGCTTTGATATGCGCGAATTAAACCCCGTGTAGTAAAACCTTTCCAAAAGCCTCGCTATCATTACTTGGCGGATGTCGCCGCCCGTTGAATTCCGCCTATTATTCGCGACGAGGAAGGGTGCAACGCACGGCCGTTGCTCTCGCGCGATCTCCGTCTTATGGCCGTGTCGAACTTGCTTGGAGATCAGAGAACGTGACTCGGGTGTGTTGCTACCAATCGGGCGGCAGCGCGCCGGGAGCGGGGGTGAAATTCGCTTGGCGAAATGCCGCACTCCAATTCGCGACCTTCGACTCTCTCAATGCGCGGTCTGACACGGGCCTTAACCGTATACACCTTTCGACGGCTGTTTCGACGGCGGCGTTTCGGCGCCGAAGGGCGCTTCAACCCGCGCGCGTCCAGGGCGCAGACGCGCGCCTCTTATGGATTTTACCCCCGCCGTGGCTCTCGGCGATATCGGGTGGTATAGTCCTGGGGCTGGCCTGGTGGGAGTCAGAGGGGCATACGAGGGCGCTCGTCGCGCGGGTCGTGCACGAAAGGGAGAAGGAGCGATGCGCGAGCCGGTCGCGGAGGGTAGCTGACGCGGAGGAAGAGGAAGAGGGGACCCAGCACCGAAACGACACGAGCGACGGGTTGGGCCGGCCGTCTGCACAACGTGACCTGCCCGATTACACGGGGATGAGCTAACCCGCCGCCGCGCGTCCATCCATCCCCCTGTGCGAATCCAGCCGGAGGACTCTGACATGTGACCGGGCGGAGCGCGCAACGTCGTGGTCGCATCCATCCGCGTCGATCGGGCTACTTTCCCGCAGGACTCTCAACGCGCGGCTCGGTCAACCACGTGGCTCGGATCTGGTGAGTCCTGCTCTCCCGCTCTTCAGAGCGAGCGTCCCGCACGCGTCCTGTCGCGAGACCGCGTTTCCAATTCGCAGCTGCTTCCGCAGCCGCGAACTTAACACCCTGAACACCCGCGCGTTCAACGTGGATACGCTGCTGTAGACGAGCCCCCCCGAGCTACGGGTCGTAGGTTACGCGCTGTACACCTGGTTGCATGCCCGGCCGCGCTTTCCCGTGGGTCGCGTTGGCGCCGAAACGTAGAAGAGCCGAGTTCCAAGTATTTCCAGGCCGATTTTTCTCTCACGGATGCGCGGATCCTCGCTGCTGAAGTTGAGCAACGCGGCGGATATTTTCGACTGCCTCGGCACCGCGGCGCTTTCAAGCGCCAGGATCTCGCGCGGACACGTCTGAAGAGCAATTCGTGTGTCGCTGCGTATTCGTAAAAAAAATTAGAAAATAAAAAAATAAAAAAAATAACAAAAAAAATGCGTCCGAATAAAAATCGCGGTAAACAATGAAGTCGCGGCGATTTCAGCGCGCTCGGTTTTTAAGGCACACTCGAGAGGAACTTCTGTTATTTTATGTTACGGGTATCTCGTGCAAACGAGAGAGAGAGAGAGAGAGAGAGAGAGAGAGAGAGAGAGAGAGAGAGACCGCAAATATCGCGTGGTTGAGAGAAGAGAGAAAAAGTTAGATTCGCGAGGGGAAATTAGTCCGAGAGTAACGTCAACTTTTTCACTGGTTCTGGTTTCCGACGAGCTCGCTCCGCCGGGTAGTTTCGCGCGCGTGAAAAATTTGCACGGGGCAATTCTCCCCCGGGCGATTCTCCTCGCGGCCTCGCGACTAGAGTCCGGCCGTCGCGCCGAATCTCGCCGTACTTTTCTTCCCCTAATTCGGCTTTTTCCGATGGCTTGACACCTCGCCTCCCCCCTTTCCTCCCTCTCGCGGGAGCGCGAGCGGTTTACTTGGCGAAAGTTCTGAGGAGCGTCGGGGGAGTTCGTCACCTCGCCGGCGTTCTCGTCGCATAGTTAGGGGGATAGTTTTGCTTATTTCACAGCTTTGCACTCCGCGACGTTGTCGCAAAGTTTCGCGCGCGGAGGGAGCCGGGGGGCAGAGGCTTGTCCCTCACCGTGTCTCGTGCTTATACCCTCACCGCCAACAGTTTTCTCCATTTCACAAGTCGCCGTACCGTGAAGGATCTCGCGGCTCTCGCGGGACTACACAACGTCGGCAAGTTTCGCGACGGCGAAGCATCGAGCCGCGAGTCCGTCGAAGCGCCGAGACCGCCGAGAGAGATACACTTCGCTCGCGTGCTATAGCGCGTTTTCATCGGGCTCGAAAGCGCTAACTCCGTGCGGACTGGAGGCGCAGATCGATGTGCCGCGCGAGAACGTTTTCGCGAGGGAATCACGGATGAGTCGGTAGGGGCGGGAAGAGAGCTCGCTGAAACGAGCAACACTCGAGGGGGTGTCCGACGAAGGCGCGACGAGCTTTAATCGCACGCGTCGCAGGAAGCGGCGAGCCACCCGACTGCACGAGAGAGACAATAAACGCGCACGTCCTCTCTCTCTCTCTCTCTCTCTCTCTCTCTCTCTCTCTCTCTCTCGCGATTTCCGCGATCTTCGTGAGCGCCAAAGGAGCGAAATTGCACGCTAAATGGGAGCTTCATTTCAAACGCGCGCGTGCGCGCGTGTCTGGCAGTCAAAGAAATTAGAACGGAGCTGTGTAAGACGCGCGAGAAGCGCGGCCGGGAGAGACACTCGCGAGAAAAGGAGAGAAAAGGAGAGAGAAAAGGAGAGGCAATTTTAACGTGATGACTGAGACGACGTAAGCAAGCGGATAAAATCCGCGTGAGAAAATGATTGAGCAACCTCAAAAACAAACGTTCTCCAACGTTGGGCCAACTTCCCGGCGAAGCGCTGAACGAAGCGCCGAAATTCCGCCCGGAGTCGTCGGGATTCTAAGATCTGAATTAGAATCGAGAGCTCCGCTGAACCCGAGCCGAATTCTGGCCTCTTCAAGCTGAGTCGTTCGTAGCTGATCGGAAACCTGCCGAACATTCCTCTCCACGTGAAAACTCGACCATAGGCTGCGGCGGTATCGAGGAACGCGGGCGAAGAGGCCGACTCGCCTCGCGGAGGAAAGGCCGAGCGGCGGGATGACATCGACTTTTTGTTACGCGAAAAGCGTCCCGCACGCTTGCGATCGCGTGCCGAACGCGGCGAACGTACGTGAGCGCGCCCGGCGAGGTATTACCTCGCTCACCGCACTTGTCGCGGGGACTTCGAGCTGGAGAGGTAGGCGGTAGATAGGCTTGACAGAGAAGTGTAGGTAGGATCTGGCCGGCCGCATGCGGCGCACCCGGGCTGAATCGGCGGCCTGCGGCTTCGCGTGCGTGTGTGTCACGCGCGCGTGTGGGCGTGAGAGTTGATTCATGCCGCTCTTCGTGACTGTGGCCTGATAAAGGCGATAGCGGCGTTGCGCGCTGCCGAATTTATCCCGCAGATCTCAAACGGCCTCTGACCGCCGCCGAAAACAGCTATTCTCCGCCCCGCGGAAGTCGCGGGGAAGACCAGGGCCAGGGGGGGGGAGCGAGGCAGCCGCGGGGGGGCATTATGCAGATGCGTGTTTCGCGCGTTGCCATATTTTCCGCGCGGAATATTTCACGGCTGTCCCTCGCGACGAGACGCGCCGTGTTCGAGGCACGTCCGCCCTGCCGTCGACCTGGATTGTCTAACATCCGTAGACGTTGGACGATCAAAGTGGAGGCTTGATTTGTTAAGGGGGCAATTACACGCGGAAGGCTGCTTTCAAGGCTATTTTTATGAATTCTTTTTTGACAGAAACGGTAAGATCAGTGGATTTAAAATTTTCACAGTATATTCATTAATGTATAAAATAAGTTTTATTAAATCACAAGAACCGATCCAATTTGTAATTGTAGATGAAAATGCAGTCATCCGTTTGCAAGCCCTATGTTTGCTGTCAACATAATTCCGGGTCTCTCATTACTCTGAAACCAAAAAGATTTTTTTAATGTACGGTTGTCATTACAGCCCGTACCAAAGTGAAGCCAAATTTGGGAAAATAATGACTGTACAAAGAAAAAAAGTATCAAAAATAAAACTTTTTTAAACTTGTAATCATGTTTAAAAAAATGAATAAAATAAAATGTAATCGTGTCGACAGTTTAAAAAAATTATGTTTCCACGTAAACATGCTTAAAATTTTGTGTGAAACTTTCGATACAGATAGTAACAAATTTACTTTATATTTTGAACATTAATGAATATACACTGTGAAAGTTTCAAGCCCATTGATCCTACTGTCTCTGTTAAAAGAAATTCGTAAAAATAGCCCTGAAAACGTGGCCTGCTCCGCATATAATTCTCCCCTTAAAAGATATTATTGATGCGTACACAGACCAAAGTCCTACTGAGCGCCTCGAACTCTTAAAAGCTACCATCAAATATCGCCCCGAGCTAACTGTTTCGTTGTTGTGGCAAAGTATACGCGAGAATCGATCTGTTTTATCGCACTGTTGTGTCACTGCTGATCCTGCGAATAAAATTAGTATTGTCAGCGTGGTTACGTTTTTTTTTATAACATCAAGAATTCGCGCGGAGTGAAATTTCAGCCATGGTAACCTTTGAGTAGCGGCAAACGCACAATTCGTCACTCGTGCGGCTGCTAAGCGCAATCGAAATAGGTCGATACGGGTCTCAGAGTTGGCGACGAAAATGGCCGGTCGAAAGTGGGATCAGAATTTCGACTCGAGATGTCGGAGAAGCCGCACGGGAAAGCGCGCTCGGCTCGTGCAACTGATTTTCCGGGAGCCAACCGAGGAAGCGGCCCCTCAGAAGGCAGTGGAAAGGTTTCTGCGGGAAGTTTCTAATCGGTCGACTGTGTTCGCACCTCGCTCGAGAGAGAAGCAGCCGGAGATGGTTGTTTTTCAACCGACCGCACGAGAGCTGCGATTTTTCTTCCCGCGATTTCCAGAGAGCGCAACCCGCGCGCGGACTAACGTGTGTACCGACGCTGCTGCTCTCCTCTCGTCCTCCAGCCGAGGATTTGCTCAAACGGTTCGCACGTCGAAAGGTGAGCTCTCTCTCTCTCTCTCTCTCTCTCTCTCAGGCACTCGCGTAATATCGCCGTTGAGAATCACTAGTCCGAAATAGTCAGCGGCAAAGGAACTGCGGTATTTTTTTTCCGAGCCAGCTGCGGAACGCGTTCGGCATCCGATGAGAATTGATTCGCCGGGAATCGCAACGGGACCTCTCGATCGGGCAAAGTCGGAGAACAGCGGCAACGGGAAAATGCGTTATACCTTGAGGCTCTAATTATGAGAATTTTTGCGCAATTATTCGAAACGCGCGCGCGCGCGCGCGCGCGTGCCGCCGTACGAATACGTAAAATTTGCAAGCACTCAACAAAGCGAGCGATAAAGTTACAAGATTAGAACTCGAAGAATCGATTTTCTGACAAATCCATGCACTCATGTCGTTTGCAAATTTAACCGTTTCCGCGGATTTTTATAAATCCGTCGCTGAAGAGGCCAACGACAGGTAACCCCGCTCTGCTCGATGATAGGAGGAAAACCTTGCAAGCTTTCGACTGAACAAACGTTTCCACAAGGCGAAACGCGAACAAGGCAACATTATCGCCGCACGCTTCTCGTCGCGAATTTCGCGAGGTTCGTGTCGGCTCAGCATTTGGCAACGGACGCGGTCGCATCGGCGGAACAATTTGCAAACGCGGATGGCACGCGAGGATCGCTTAAATCATCAGACAGGACGGTCAAAGGTTAATCTAGTGGAGCGCAAGGGGCGGAAATTGAGGAGCAATTAGACAAGCGGAGTATCCCCGAATTGCAGCGCGAGGGTGTCCCGCGATTCGCACTGAATTCGCAGAAATTCTCGCCGAACGCGAGTCATCCTTCGATCGGCCGGCTGAGGCGCGTCAATAATTGATCGAGCGCGCTCGCGTGCACAGTGCGGAACGACCTGTGACCTTTGTCA